TTCACATAACACCTAAAAATAAGCGAAGTCAAATTGTGCTTTTAGGGATCTGTATGTCTGTGGCAGCCCCATGAAGAACACGTGGGACGTTGTCATCGCAGCTGCCTGTACAGGCCGTGTGATGGGGCAGGGGCAGGGGGGCTGCTTCCGCTCGGCTCTTTGACTTGGTTAGAATGACCGCTGTTCACCCTGTAAGCATTGAATTTTATATGAGTTTTGATGTACTTTTCTTCGTGTGTGTTTCCCAATTTTTAAAAAATTAAATTTTTTCAATGTATTTTCAACATGTCTAGAAGCTATGTCTTTCAAGATTGGAAACAATTATTAACAATAGGGCAAAAGAAAACAAATTCTAATAGTCTAAGTTCCTTGGAACTGAAGACATTACTCCTTTATTTTACAAGCACTCATTTCTGCCTTGTGCTGGATCTCAGTAATTATCCATTCAGCCAGCATTTATGGAGCATTTACTGCTCAGCTGCCTCACAGGAATGAGACTTAAGGTGGGCGGTGATATTACGGGCTGATTTAACTGGTGAGCTCCCCGTGCATTAAAAACCATGCACGCGCACCTCCTGAGCGCTTTCCGTTCCATAGCTTTACTTCTCTAAGTGGTGTGATTCTGTTAGCTTGGAATGGAATTTGCAGTTATCATTATAGAACTGAGTGTATATTTAAGAACATTTAAGTTCTTTGTAGGCAGTAGGTCAAAAACACAGTCTGGTCACGCGCGGCCTCAGTTAAACACTCAGGCAGGGTAGAATCCCAAATCCAAAATTTAGTGGCATGTCTCAAGATTGCAGAAATCACCAGTCCCTTGGGATTTTAATCCATCCTTATATCAGATACTGTGTCTTCATTACTCAAATATTTACTTAAACATATTTATAATGAAAAATATCCTGAATAGGCTTCTTTACTCCATACACAAACACGAAAGATGATATATATGCATATGTGTGTATATATGTATTTGTTCATATACACATGTGTGCATATATAACTTTAATGGAAAATAAGTATCTAAAATTTCAAATACATTATTTTTTGCTGTTCAGTTCTTACATCAGATATTATATCTTATGCTGATGAGAGAATATAAGCTAAAAGAAATCTATTTAAAATTGACCGCCTCTAATTTATCATTCATTTAAAAATGTTTCTTAAGTGTATTGTGTAGAAGAAAAACTGGGCATATTTGTTAAGTCTCGACACCGTTGTTCTTGCCTCCTCAAGTTTCTTCGCCCTGTCGCCTTCCCACTCCCCCCCTTATTCTGTCCACACCCAGTTTCGCCAACAGATTGAGTAACATAAACTGGAAAAGGGGAGGCCGATGGGCAGGGGCTGCCACGCAGTGTTATATACCCACAATTCTATGCATGTTTTCTTGACTTGAAAGGTAAGGTCGCTAATACTTCATAAGTAAAACAATAGGACGCATGACTCTAAAGGCCTTTGTTGGTGTCCGCACCATTCTGAATCGGGGACCGTCGGCCCCAAACAGGAAACAGCCCTCAGTCACCCTGCTTCCAGGTCTGGGGCCCGTTCCGGACTCTGGGTTGCGGAGGCGGTAGCCAGACTTGTTTTGGGACTTCACCTGATTTAGATAAAGGGACTATTACTCTGTGACCTAAAGGATTATGACCGTTTTGTTCATAACGGTTCTTTGATTGTAAGGTATAGAAATCAATTTTAAGGAGCTCAAGCTACAGGAGAATTCATTGGAAGAGTACAGGCAGGGGTTACCCAAGGCCCGAAGGGACCCCTGGCTCCCTGAAGGCCCAGCAGCAAGAACTGCGCGCAGGGTCTGCGTGGCGTGGCGTCTGCCACCACGGCCGCCTTGCAGGGTGACTCTCTGCCCCCCAACGGGTGGTTTTTATGAAAAACAATGAACCATTTTTGTAATCAGAACATAATTCCCAAATGTAGAAAAAGCCTCAATTATGGTGCTGTTTTTTATGCCTCGGTAGGAGAAAAGATGTAGACCGTTGTCGTAAAGGACCTAGAACAGTTGTATCAAGCCAGCCTGGAGCGATGAATACCCTCTTCACAGCAGATCCCTTTAGCGATGTGTGTTTTGTAATGTTTGTTTTGCTGTAGTATTTAAGAAAATTATTTAAGAAAAACAACTAGGATAAATCCACTTAAAAAAAGCCACTGAAATTTGAAATTACTTTGGCACAGTTGAGGTTTCGCCTTTAAGTTTGCAGTAATGGCACTGGAAACTGTCAGCCACATGTACACGAATAGAGTCCTTTTGAAGTCCCATTTACTTCAGAATGGAGCATTATAATCATCAGAGATAGCCGTGGAGAGTGCACAGCATTAGTTCTCTGGAGGACTTTTCCCCCGACTTAAGAGCAGAGTCCTCATAGTGGCGGTGACTTCTCCGACTGTTTCCTTCCTTGAGCGAGTGTTTTTGTTGTGGCTCACTTGAAGCAGGCGAAAAAAACTGAAGCCAGCCTGTTTCTTATATGCCTCGCCTGGCCTTGTGAATAGATGACAGCATTCCTCTTGTTAGTGCCAGTGACACAGGAGAAACTTTTACTACTGCGCTATGTGGTAATGATAAAGAAGGCTGAAAAGGTCTTTTTATGGTAGTTGGGTCCTCCAAACACCTCTTCATGTCCTAGCGATAAGAAGACACAAGCTGGCTTTCCAACAGGGGCCCATTAGCTGGTTATCGGCGGAGCTGATATGGACTCTCACATTCCCTCGCAGGGACAGGGACCCCTCGGAAGTGAGGGCTCGCAGGGCTGGGCTGCCGGAGCGCGCCCTTCCTCAGGGGCACACGTATCGTCGGCCCTCCTGCTGTCGGGCAAAAGTTGCGAGTAACTCTTAAACAAAAGCTGTATGCTTTTTTCCCTGTACTTCAGAAAATGTTCAAAGAGATACATACTTGGTGATGGCTGTTACCGGAAGTGCAAGGCTATGAATTACCTAGTCTGAAGATACATGACTACGAGGGGACAGTATCGGGAGATTTCAGGCTAGAATAAATCAACAGCTTCATGATAAAATCTGCGTATAGGCACCTACTATATTTGCTCTGTTTCTAGGGCTCTGCAGGTTATGAGAGTTCACTGTGCACCAGGATTCTGAGTGTTAACATCTTCAGATAGCAACTTGGCAGAGCTTTGGCAAGCAGACCTTGCTACCATGGATGGGGGAGGATGCGTGTCTTCATCCTTCAGTTCTAAACAACAGGACCTTTTATGGCCAAGTACACGTGAAGGTCCCTGTGATTAGTTAGACCCATAGAACTCGGACCTGTGGGGCCGCAGAGAGGGAAGTAGGTGTGGCGTTTGCTCTGTGCTCACGGTCAGCGGGTACGTGCCGGGGGCTGCCGGGCGCTGCGGTGGGATTCCTAGCGCGCGCCAAGTAACGTGAGAGGCTGGCATGTCTAGACTACTGACTCCTCATGGTTCTCCAAGCACGGCAAAAATCAAATTGAGTGAAGCGAAATTTGAAAATAATTTCACTGCAGGGAAACTAGGAAAAAATTCTCACATTTTAATGTAAAGCGCGTTACTTTCTAGTTCTTGCAAGAAAAAAAGGAGTAAAATATGCATTCACAATTTTTGTAAGTCATGTTTTAAAGGCCACCAAGATCTGTTATTATGAATTGATTAAAAATATACCTTAAATCTAATTAAAGTAATTATTTATTAGTGAACTTATCTAATGCTAGTCTATTGATCAAACCATTTTTTCTAATTATATTAGCTCTCCGAGGTAGGCTTACCTGGAAAATTTTAACTTCCTAAAATTTCTCTGATTGGCTGGAAAATGAGCAACTCTCAAAGCTATTTAAGTTGTTGAACCCAGTAATTCTACTTTGAAAGAAGATCCAGGATTTCTTAAAAATATAGACATTCTAGAAGTAAATTAGTATTCCGTAGATTGTCAAGCTCTTGGTTTTAAATACTGGACAAGTCATTTCATGATGATTTTAATTTTGAAAAAATTAGAAAACCAACTGTTCACTGTATTTTCACTGTATTAGTAAGAAGAAGAAGAAAAGTCATTTTGGTCTAGGACATACTTTGATGACTTTCAATAAAACTGTCGAGAAAGTCACATTTAGTGGATTAAGTCAACCCATGAAGCAGCTCTAAACAAAGAGATTGGAGAAGATACATACTGAATAACTTATGTTTTACAAATTTTAAAAATATATAAGGTTGCTAATATGTTCATTCTGTATAGGAAAGAGTCATTACCATCATATATTAAGTAATTATTTGAGTTTTATACTTCAAAAGTATGTAGGAAAATGATAGTACCTCAGAACAAATTAAAAATGAAATTGTTGGGATACTGTGCTGGTTTTTTTCTGGGAACAAGGATGACGCTCAGGCAGAGTGATGTCCGTAGGTGAAGTTGCCGAGGTGTCCCTTTTATGAAGGCACCATGATAACTTCTCAGAGCATCATTTTGGTATCTTTCTGTTTCAGTGCTCACACTCATTGGCCCTATCACATTTGTTGAGGAGGCTTTAATCCGAGTGGGTTGTAACTGTCAGAGAGCAGTGAGTAATTTATTAGTATTCTCTTGGAAGTTTGGAAAGAAAAAACCCAAACAAATAAATACTCCTTTGCTCTTAGTGTACAGCGGGAACATTAGTTTTGCTTATAGCAAAGGCTTCCCTCGCTGAAGAGTTAGAGTGCATTCGTGATCATTGAAAACCATTTCAGGAGCCCTTTTTATAACTCCATTCAGCCTGTGCTCTCTTAATGACTGTTACAAACCAGCTCATGGCACGTGAGTATCATGCGTGTGAATTTTCCGATTGTATTTCAGACCTTAAGAAAGAAAGGCCTTAATGGTTGTGAGAGCCCCGATGCTGACGATTACTTTGAGCACAGTCCGCTCTCGGAGGACAGACTCAGCAAACTAAACGAAGATAGTGATTTTATTTTCAAACGAGGCCCTGTAAGTACTTTCGCTTTACCTCTACTTTTTATTTGTTGATCCTTTTTGTTAACTTCATTATTTAGGCTCTGAACAAGAAGGAACACAGAGGCTGCGACAGCCCAGACCCTGATACTTCCTATGTGCTAACTCCGCATACAGAAGAAAAATATAAAAAAATTAATGAGGAATTTGATAATATGATGCGGAATCATAAAATCGCAGTGAGTACTAACGTATGGTTTGTGCTTTTAACTTGTGCATGAAGACATTGACCACACATCTGTGTTTTCACAGTGGGTGATGGCAACACAAAGTAGAAGGGGGGAAAGGCATTATTTTTTTGGTTTTGTAGACCTTTAGAATAAAATTGCTGACATGCTTTGATACGTGTCCAGTCCCTTAAAGACAGAAGTGAAGAGGAACACCCGAACCCAGGCTCTGCCCCTTACTACCGCCTGTACCTTTGGGTAGGCACCCAGAACAGCTGGAGTCCATCCCCGACTCTGTACAGTGAGTGAGTGGCCTCACGTGATTTTTAAGGTCTCGTCCAGCTCTCGATTTCAGTGGTTTTAACTGTAGGCTGCAGAGGACTTCCCCCTTCCTGCCGTGACTTGAGAAAAGCATTGCATGTGCTTCACATAGATCTTGAGACTATAAAGTACAAACGGTTGGATGTATTACAAGATTTGGTGTTTCGGAATGAGTTTTGATTATTGGTATAGTTTCTGTAATAGCAGCAGCTTACTCTCTGGCTCTTCATGAATGTCCTCCCGCCGCTTGGCAGCCACCCCTCCAGACCCCTGTGCTTTTCCTGTCCTGTAGGTGTGGAGGAAGAGGGCCTTGGTTCTATTTTAATTTAAGGAAACAGCGTCCTTAAACTGGTTGCAAAACAAATAGTTGGTTTAAAATTTTCCGTGCTCATACATCTAACCATAATGGAACAGTATTTCTTTGAGCTCATGCTCCTTTGATAGCTCTTCAAAGAGTTCTCACTGGGAGCACCATTGGCAAGAGCTGCTTAGGGCAGCTGCTCTGGATCTGATTTTTGAGTGCTACGTACTTAGTGTAGGCCCCAAACTGGTTCCAATGCTGATATATAGTTCGTTGTCAAAAGACTGTGCCCTGAAGTAGGCATCATGGATTATTTCTTCGGAGTTGTCCTGTGCTATACAACCCACTTGTGAAAAGTAGATTCAAGGAGTTATTTGTGTGCTGATACCATCATTGTTCTTAAAAAACAAACAACAAAAAACAATAGCAAACAAAAAATAATACCCCTTCTGACCTCATACGGATGTTGGTGAACATGAAGTTAATGTTAAGATGCAAAAGTATTGTATTAATAAGTGCTTTACCTTTGAAAACTTTTTAATCTTATATCCATTGTTTTATCTGTTAATGAATAATGATTTTCTACCTGAAGTAAACTATTGAATAGAGTACATAAATTATTTATATTCTTCCAACTTTGAATTAGCAGTGTTACCTTACTTCGCAAATCACTTTTAAAAAAGTCAGAAGAGGAAAGTTTTTCTCTCACTTTAAATTTTATAGAGGATTGTTATTTATCTTGGTTAACAAGTATATTGTAAATGGTCTATGGAAGAATGAAAGAGGAAAACAAGTTATTTAAAGGGAGCACGGAATATTTTGGAGGGAAGGAAGATAGCATTGATAATAATTGTAATTTAATCATACAATTTAAAGAGAGCTTGTTAACTCAGTAGTTAATTTTATTGTTCAGATTCTTTTCCATTATATTTAGATTGCATTGTGTTACATACAGTTTGATTACTATTATTATATTTTTTTAGTATTGTCCGTGAAGAATATCAGTCATTTAAATCATACTAGGTCTTATTTACAATGTCCAAAATTTTATGTATGAAGTTAATTATCTTTATATGCACTTCCCCTTTTTATTATAATTGGAATCTCCCAATAGAAATATAATGTTACTAAACTAGTTTTCATTGAAGTGCCAATTTATGCTTACTTGGTAACATGATATATTTTGTAATGTCTAAATTTGACAACAGTATGTTAATATCAGGTTCTGACATCTAATTTTCATCTCTATGAATGCTTAAAGTATTAATATATACATTATTTTAGTGAATATGTACCAGTATATAAAAAGTTGAAATGGAAAAGGTCCATGTCAAACATACTCATGTTTAAATATAATTCTAAAGAAAATAGCTCACATCTGCAAGTTGATTTAGTAAGAACGTATCCCCATCCTCCACTTTGAATAGTTACCTTGTCAAGTGAAAATTCGTACGTTAATAAAACTACAGATGAAAATGAAAAGTAACCGTTTTCTCCTCCTTGTTCTTTCTTCTCAGCCTGGTTTGCCGCCTCAGAACTTCTCAATGTCCGTCACAGTCCCTGTGAGCAGCCCCAGCGCTTTGTCCTACACTAACCCCGGGAGCTCGCTTGTGTCCCCGTCCTTGGCAGCCAGCTCCGCGCTAGCAGATTCCAGCATGCTCTCTCCGCCTCAGGCCGCACTGCACAGAAACGTGTCCCCTGGCGCCCCTCAGAGACCACCCAGCACTGGTAGCGCAGGTATGGAGAGCGAGCTGTTCTGCCGGCTGTTGGCAAAAGAGGCACAAACTGAATTGCTGACAGGTACCCCTGATCCTGCTACTCTGAACTGTATTGTTTTAGTAAGCAGGAGCCAGTACTATGTGATCGGCTCTCTTTTAGGGAATGTTTTTTGACAGTCTGCTGTGGCTCTAGCCTTGTGTTGGGCCCCGGGGAGCAGTACAGCCAGCCTGCCACCTGTAAGCTGTCCTTACCACGGAAGGACATGCTTTGTCAGGCAGGGCATTTACTGACGGTGTCATGAGAAAACATTGAAAGCTGAGCGTGGACCATCCACATTAAAAATATACAGGACTGGACCTAACCTTTTGGGGTTAGTGTGTTTTGCAGCTCTCCCTGCCTGGATTTGGTTATTAGCGCAGCAGAAGTGTGCAGCGTGTTCACTGCCTTCCTGCGAGTGACGTCCCGGGTTTAGTAGCCCTCCGTTCGCACCGCGCTCGCGCTCTCCGGGGGCGCTGCCCGGTGCTGCGGGGCAGGAAGGCGGGCGCCGCGGCACTGAGAGCTGCGCCCCGCCCCCCGCCCCCGCCCCCCCCTCCGCCGTGGGGGCGGGGCCCGGGGGGAGCCCAGGCCGGGTTGCAGCCGTGAGTGTGCGAAACACAGAGTTTATCCCGGCATGGTTATCTGGTCATTATTGTCCTCCTTACTTGTTTTATCTTATTGTTACTGTTTCATATCCTTACTTACAACTTACCCTTTAGGTGACGACTGGTAATGTAACCTACTTGTATCGTATGCTAATACGAAGTTCAGGCTGGGCTGGTTTGAATTTTTGTGCTTTTTAGGAAGGGAGTGAGGGTTCCCTCTGTTTGTTTGGGTTCATTCAGACACGGAGAGCCAATTCATATTCAATTTGTCCTCTCTCTGTGGTTGTCAGGTGGGATGTTGAGCACTTCAGACCTCACAGTGCCAAATGGAGCTGGAAGCAGCCCAGTTGGTGAGTGAATTCCTCCTGTTTCACTTTGTAGGCGTCTGCCCTGTCTGAGGTGAAAGGAATGTTGTCCCTCCAACAAGGCCTTCTGCCAGATGAGAAAAAAATGGGGCTATATGTCTAAAGTAGATATTTCTCTTTGTAGACTTAATTCCCTTCTGAGGGATACTTTTACTAATGCCTAACATTTTTTTTCATAACTCCTGTATTCCTTACACCTCGGCCTTAAGTTACTCGTTTATTCAATAAATATTATTGGTTGCCTCCTTCATAGCAGATATTGTTCTTTTCTAAAGACTGAATTGCCTTAGTACAATGTTGACATCAAAACTATTGAGAAGCTTTCTGTGTCACCCGTTCTCACCAAAATTACAGTTGTAGACAACTGATACATCTCACAGTAGTGTGAAATGTTTTCAGAGAGATTGCAGTGGGAGGAAATGGTGGGCTGGCTTCTAGAGAGACAAAGAGAATTGAGAAGTTGGTCTCCGAAGGTTCTGGTTTGGTGGTCATGTATAGAGCATTCACATTTTGTCGTGGTTGGAGCCACATTGGTTCTGTAACTTTGGGACCCCTCCCAAGGTGACTAGCGGTTTAAAGCCCTGTCATAAATACGTCTGCCTCACCCTGACGTGCTGGCAAAGATACATATAATCTTACAGTGACCAAAATATGGCGTATATGTCAAAGAATGGTAAGACTTCCTATGTCCCTTTGTCATACGACGTCATCCCGGCCGCCCACTCTGAGTGCCGTCGCAGTCACGTGAGCGAGAGCGGGCGCGCCGCCTGCGCTGGTCAGGGCCGGCCTGTGCTCCTGGAGACGTCGGAGACGGTCTCTTCCAGGGAAGGTTCCTGATGGCATTCAGCTCGTTCATGCCACGGAAATGTACCAGGCTGCTGCCTAAAGAACACTCGCGAGGTGATTGAATAACTTAATTTAAAATGATGAGAAACAAATAAACAGGCATTATTATTAGTAAGACAAATTACAAAACATATAGTGACCTATATGTAGGAATAAATGCATAATTACCATATTTTGCCATGTATAATGTACTCTCGTATATAATGCATGTCCATGTTTTTTGGCCCAGACTTTCAGGGGGAAAAAATCTTTTGTTTTAATTTTTAAATTAAATTATTTATGTATACTTAGATACTTGTTTTTGTGTTATAAAGGAATTTTAGCATTTATTTTTGAACATATTACAGTACAAGAAATTTTATGTCACAAATAATTATAAAACACAAGAACAGATACAAGGTACTTCAGGTACTACCCATGTGTAATGCACATCGTTATTTTTCCCTCAAAAATGGGGGCAAAAAGTGCACACTATACACAGCAAAGTATGGTATAGCTGCCACTGTGTTAGCTGCTTTTTTAATGGAATTAAACAGGTAAGACCTCTCGTAGGATTTTCAAACAGATAATTAATGTGTAAAAATTTATAAAGGTCTTACCTGTTACACATTAGAGCGGTTACACTTGGATGTGCATTTCCAGATATTTGCAGTGTCTTTTCAACTCTGTTTTAGTTTGTTTGCATGTTACATTTTTCCATACATGCTTTTATTCCCCCAACACTACCCGTCTTGCTCTCTCTTCTACTTTCCAGGCCGCTTAAGGTTAGAATCAATCGCTCCTATTTTATTTAATGTTAATTTTAACTAGACCTTGGTTTTATTTCCAAAGTTATTTTTACCTCATGGAATTTAACTTTTTGAAGATGTTCTCCCCGTGCCTTTGTTTTCCTCATCCCGCTGGCACTGTAAACATAGTTTTTTCTCATGTGAAACAAGTGTGTTTCAGTTCTCTCCTCGTCTCTTTCTTTTTTTTTCCCCTCTCCCCACTAAGTTTAGGCTTCGTCTCTGCTGCTCAGTTTTCTTTGTTCCCACTGGTAATTTCAAAGTCAGACTTTGTCATCATCCTTATTTGACATTCTGCATGTAATTCTGTTGCTTTCGTGCCCCCCCCCATAAGCCGCCCCCTGCTGCGCCGATCGCTCGCCCTGGGCCCGGCGCGTCCTCGCCTCGGCGCGGCTCCTGCTTCCGTTCCGCGGCCGTTCCCTCCGCCCGCCGCAGGTAAAACTCTGTTAATGTGCTCGGCATTGACAGTCACGTCGACCAGCGCAGTTAGTGACCACGAATTTCTGTGAAAATTTAAAATTCAGTATTCTAGTATTTTAAGTCCTTAGTGATTTATTTAAGTGCATTTTCATATACAGAGATAAATCCTCTTCCTCAGTGTACATCTCAGCATCTCATAACACACCAAGATTGGATGTCTTGATTCTTCATTGATTCTTACTTTTATATACTATTTTACTGGCACTAGGTCTAATTCTACTTATTTTGCTCATTTGAATAATATCCTAAATCACATTTGTGTTATAACTGCTTTTTAACATATGCTACCTCAGAATTTATATTCAACCACATAGACATCTTGTATCACTTAATTCAGATACCAACTGGAAGTAATTATTTCTGTATAATACTTAGAGCATATGTGGATTTAAAGTGTGTCTTGCTATAAATCCCCCCCCCCCCCACCAAAATAAGATTTCTCATAGGATGCTTAGAACTGTAATTTTTGTGAGGAAGAGTCATGTAATATATCTTAGCTCATTTTCAACACTGGTGCCATGTTGGGTTAGTTTTAGGAAAAAAAAAGTTAAAATGCATTTTTACACTTAAGTGAAGTCTCTGTGAATAAAAAAATTAAACATTAAAAATTTCCAGAGAAATTTAGAAGAAAATATATTAAAAGCTGTAGGTATGATTTCTAATCTACATTTTTCAAAGCACGTCTCTTGGAATTATGAAAAGGACAGACTTACGTATGTATTTAACAAGTCATATACTAAATAGCCTTCCTCACTTACAGGACTTACCAGAACCTTTGAAATGCTAACCTACTTTGTGAATCTTCAAACTTAGTATCTAACATACAGGGGTGGGCAAAATGAGGTTTACAGTTGTGACTATGCCAAACACAGAGCATATTCCTGTATTATGATCATAACATGCATGTCTTTTTTCCGTACAAATAGCTGTAAACGTACTTTTGCCCACCTCTGTATGGTTACTCAGAGTGATTTCACAATAGAATCCTCCCCCCTCCTTTTTTTTTTTTTAATTGAATAAAGCATCTTTCAGTATTAATGCTATATCAAACATATTTTGGGAACTGTTGCTTCTGCTCTTAAGATGCTACATCGGAAAGATGTTGACTAATTTGAAAACGTTCATAAATAAAATTAAAATGGAGGTATAAAAACAGAAAAGCAAGACAATCAGATTTGCGCTGCGATGATGCGGACTCAGTCACTGGACTAACCTTTCATCGTGGAGGACAACTAGCAATGCCAGGCAGGACATTTTTTAAAGGTCTGCGTGAAGGCATTTGAGAGCTGACGAGGTAACGATGCATTACTGGCGCAAGAGTCAGGGAATGGCAAAGACAGAGACTCAAAGGCAGGAGTCCAGGGTATATGGCTGCTTTCCCTCATGTGGCGTTTGCCAGTTCCACAGTGGGGTGTCTAAGGTGTATGTGACAGCCTCAGAGATCTCGGGGGACAGAGAACGTTCGGGGGCCACAACGAATTGGGAGAGCCCAGTATACTCTTCTCACTTTGGGTTGCGGCCCCGAAAGGTTGGAACCTAGAGTTAGAGTGAATGAATGAAGAGTTGCTTCTTATGGATGAGCAAAGGAAGTGGTTTCTTGAGATGGAATCTCCTTCTTGTGAAGATACTCCGAAGATTGTTAAAATGACAACAAAGGATTTAGAATATTAGATAAACTTAGTTGGTAAAGCAGTGGCAGGATTTGAGAGGATCGACTCCAATTTTTTTGCAAGAAGTTCTGTGGTTTGTAAAATGCTCTCAAAACGGCATCACATGCTACGGTGAAATCTTTCATGAAAGGAAGAGTCAGTCGATGTGGCAAACGTTGTCGTCGTCTTATTTTAAGGAACTGCCACCCCGCCCCACGGACTCACCTAAACTGCCCCGCTGCTCCCTCCGCAGCGTCGGCATCAGGGTCGAGGAAGGGCCTGCCACCAGCACAAAGGTTAGGACTCACCGAAGGCTCAGGTGGCAGTTAGCGTTTTTTAGCAATATTTTAAAATTAAGTTACATACATTGTTTTCTTAGACATAATGCTGTTGTATGGTTAAGAGTTGATAAAGCTGATACAGTGTAATATAAACACAACTTTATATGCATTGAGGAGCCAAAAAATTGATGTGACTTGCTTTACTGCATTATTCACTTTATTATGGTGATCTGGAACCAGACCTTCAATATCTCCAAGGAGTACCTGCACATAGTATAAGCAGAAGGCTTTTTGAGAAGAACACATACAAATCATCAAGAAAAAGAAAATTTGATTTTTAAGAATATGCATGACAACACAGACCTTTTACAAAAGTTGCTGTTCAGATGTATAATAAATTTATGAAAAGATGTTCAATCAATCCCAGCAAGGAAGTACAAAATTAAATTCACAGACATTATAAACCTACTGGAACAGCTAGAGCAAAGACGACAGATGATACCAAGCGTTGACCAAGGATAAGGCTAAACCCGAACTCTCATCCTGATGGGCAGCAGTACCAGTCGGTGCAGCCACGTTGACATTCTCTACTACCGCTGGAGATGTGTGTATTCTGTGACCCAGGGTTTTCACTCATCTTTACACACTGCAGAGAAATGCATGTGTGCGCCATGGCCACCGAAAGACGTGTACAAGAATGTGCATGGCACTGTTAGAGCCGACCTCTAGAAATAATCCAGATTCCTGTCACTAATAAGAATGGATAAATACATTATATATGAAGGAATACTATAATGCAGTGAAAACGAAAAAACTGTAACCGCGATCAGCAACATGGATGGATTTTACCAACACAATATGAATGAAAGAAAACAATGCAAATTCTAAAGGATTCTGTTTACATAAAGTTTGACGAGCAGGTGAGGAAAACTATAGTGTTAGTGACCTGTGTGTAGATAGATGGTAAAACTGTAAAGAAAACAAGATGTCCCGTCGAAGTCATGACGGTGGTTACTGTGGGCAGGCGGGACAGACAGCAGCAGTGCCCGGGGGCCCGGGCCCTCCAGGGCGCAGTGGCGGGGCCTGGCGTGTTCTTTTTCTTGTCTGACTGATGGTCACCTGGGCATGCACTTTATGATCACTCCTTCGTCTTTAGGATTTTGTTTTGTGCACCTTTCTGTTATGTGTTCTATGAATGAAAGCGTTAACAATAAATACACATGCTTGTGGCATTGTGAATTAGCCATAGTCTTTCTTAAGAGCTTTTGGCAAGATGCTTCAGTAGTCATAAAAATGTGCATACCTCTGAGCCCACTAATCCCATTTCTGGGAATCTCTCCGAAAGAAATAAACTAGATTATGAAAAGGTTCACTACAACTTTATTTATAGTAGTGAATAATAGGAATAAATCAACATACTCAAAAGTATGAAAATTAAGTACATTAAAATTTCAACTGAATTCCTTTTTAGTTATGATTGAAAACTGTGCAAAAAAAAAATGCACATGGAAAATAAAAAGGAGGGGAATCCAAACTGATTATAATAGCTACGTTCCAATGCTGCGAATATGTGTTTTCCCTTTTTTCCCCCCAGTGTCTGAGCTTTCTATGATGCTATATTGACAGCATGCCTATATAGCCATAAAATTATTATAGTAAATTAGAGCATTCATTTGTTTTTTTTTCCCTTTTAAGCTGTGGTAATTTTTTTCCATTGACGTCATTGTGTATCCAAATAAAACCTGCCAGTTTTGCACACATTATACGTTGTATAAACCTTTCATAGTGACAGTCTGCTTATTTCATTGTGGTTTACTTGGTCTCTTTCTCTTCTGAGAGTTTACATTTAATCGTCAGGTGATACTGTAGTTAAGGTGACTTTGGGAACTCGTTAACTTTTGGGCCTACGTTTAAAGATGAAGCATAAAGTAAAATCTCTGATATCCAGCATCTTCACTTTTTAAAAACATGCTCAGAAAGGAAAACGTGTGCGTGTGTGTGTGTGTGTGTGTGTGTGTGTACACACACACGTATGCTGGACTAGAAACAGAAAGAATCAAGAAGCTCTTGGAGCTTAGAGTTGAGGGGAAGCTAGTCGGGGCCGGGCCGCCGCACCCGTGGCAGTTAAACAGAAGAGATGGAGGAGGCGAAAGGCATTGCAAAGGAAGAGTGAAGGAGCCCGGGGGCTCTGTGACGGTGGCCTGGGCATGAGGGAGGATGACGGGACCGCATGCGTTCGAAGGAGTAGCGTTAGAGATGACCGTGGCTTATAGGGGGAAGGCGGCTATTGGAGGGTTGCGTGGGGACTGCAGGTTTGGAGAGACAAAGGAGAAACAGAGACGCCGGAGTCATGTGGAGACCGTGGGGGAAGCCGTGGGGTGGGAGAGCGTGCCTGAAGTCTGTGAAAGAGAGGAAGTGTGGCCGCGTGGGGGCTGCCCCTCCGGGAGGGGTTGCGGGGCTATACGGCATTCAGGAAGGGCGGCGGTGGCAGCATCTCCTGGGCGCTGGCTCTTCGAGGTTATACACTTTTAATGGATAGGGTTTCTTTTGTCCATCACACATGAATTTCCATTCAGTCAAGTGAATACATTCATCAGCGATTTTAAAACCCAAGGTCTTTTTTCATTTTATAAACATCATTTAGTTCTTTATATAAAAGACATAATTTGATAGACTTTTTAAATGTACTTTTGTTTATTGAATAATCAGCTGAAAGGCTGGCAGATACTATGAAGAACCTGTCAGCTATAAAAATTAATTCTTGAACTTTGCTTTGGATGAATTTTTGAGAATCCTTTGAGAGTTTCAAAATCCTTCACACGCCAGCCCAGCCTGGATCAGAGTCATAGTAACGAGACATTAGAAGCATCACTGCCTGCGCCTTGGCCCTGGGACAGCAGCGTTGAGGACGTGAGCGCTTCCCAGCGGCCGGGAGCATCCGAGCTGCCGGCACGTTCAGAAACGCCGGCCGGCGCTGGGCCGGCGCTGAGCGGTCTGCCTTAGGGCCCGGGTCAGCGTTGTGCTACGTTCCGGAGGCGGGGCTGCGCGGTTCCTCGAGAGCAGATTTGTCGAGTTTGTGTAAGGATGTAATTTACCATAAAACCCCAGAGCACGTCTTAACAGCAGTCACATTCAGTTGACTTTACTCACTCAGAGCTGCTGCTTAATCCCTAAGTTCATAGGCTGTGGCAGGATGAGTTACACACCAGGAGTATCGGCCTCCAAAGTCCATCTCAACAACATCTTCATTTTTGTCAAAAAAAAAATGAGCTGGTAGTATATCACTCCACTCCGCACAATAACCAGTGGCGCATCTAAGGCTCTCTCGTTTCCCCCGGCAAGTCCCCAAACCCTGACGTCACCCTGGAGTCATCTGCTGCGCTCTCGGCTTCAGGGGCAGCCCCGCTTTTAGGTCCTTGACACTCTTGGGACCGTTCCCCCGGGGCCTGCTGGCCGCTGTACCTGAGAGGCAGCGTGGGCTGCGCGCGGCGGGTCGTCAGCGCTTCCCGACGGTGCGCTCTTCTAAATTAGGGCTTTGTGTCCTCGTGTGGTGGCTTTGAGGGGACGCGCTGCGCCATGCTTCCGGTCTGAGTGCCGGGCAGGTCGGTGAGAATCTTCGGAGTGTTATGAGAGATTAAGGACATTCGCGTCATTATTTAATTAAGAGAAATGCCGTTAATCTGTCGTTACTGCTAATCTGACATTCTGTTAGATTCTGTTTTTTGTTTTTATTATAAAGTTGATGATTTATTTTAAAACTATGCAACAGTAGCGTGACCTGTGCTGCATTTTTTTAATGGGCAGCTAACAGTGTATCTTGGATTTAGTAATTAAATTTCCACGAAATATTTTAAGTGTATATTGTTAATTTTCTTTTCTATTTTTTCCTGTTTTATTTGTGATTTATTTAGAAATTAAAATAGCATAGGAGCCTCTGTTTTATAAATGGCATTTTATGGTATCCTCGTTACTTGACTTTTTAAGAATGTGTGGCCTTATCTCCACCACTGAATTGCAAGCGGGTGAATAGTGACTATTGGTACGAGGATACCACCCCCTGCAGCTAACAAAACCATCTGAATGACACCTAAATAACACAGGGCGTTCACTAACTCACATGTAACCGAAAAGCCTCGGCAGCGTGCGCACCACCAGGGTGGCGGGCTCTGCCATTTACTCCCTGTGCGCCTCTCTTCTGAGTCTCAAAATGGCTCGAGAATGAGGTGCTTCCTCGGCCCCTTGCAGAGGGACATGGAAGCTCCCCTCACGCCACGGAACAGCTACCTTCCCTGGGCTTCGGTGGGCTGCTTGTAGGCCCCTGGCCGTGGGGAGGGGCAGGCTGTTCGCGCGCTGGCCTGGGCCTGAGTCAGTGCCCACAGCGCCCGGCCAGCGTGGGGCGGCGGGGACTGACTGGAGTCGCCCGCCTGCGCCGGCACTGACCGCGGTCTCCGGGAAACGGGGTGCTCCCTGCCATCCACTCCGTCTCCGTGGGCGTCCGAAAGCGCTGTGTGTAGGACACATGCTGCAGTGCACCCATTTCCTTGCGTTGTCTCTGAAATGTCTCAGACAGACATTTCTAGCAGGGAAAGTTAAAAAGCAGAAATGGGACGGTTAACGTCAGACAAAGCAGAGACACGGCGTGAAGACCTGATGCCAGTGAGGAAACGGGGCGGCTGAGCCCGGGCCCCGAGGGGACGCGCGGCGAGGCGGCGGCGTTGGGCACTCGGGCTGGTGCGGAGCGGCGAGGGCGTCGCCCTGGTGCCTCGCTTGGCGCCCGGAGCCAGGCAGGGGCGCCTGTGCGGTCACGGGAGGGAACGGGCAGGCCGGGCTCCGTTGTCCTCTCGCACGGCCTCCGTTACTTTGGTCCCCACCAGGAGCTGCTCCGCTAGAAATGAATCCTGCGTTTTCAGTGCTGTCTCGGTCCGTCCAGGCAGGAAGGCTGAAAAGACGCGGCGTTAATCTTAGGCTCTCTTTATATGTGTTTCGGACTTTGGTTAACTTTCTTTGCTTATTTTAAAAATAGTCCAAGGTACATGGCTCACTACTAATGAGTTTTCTTGTAACATGCCTTTGAAATCAGAACTGGGGAAAATGGGATTCATGTTCATACCAAATATTTTAATGACTCTTTTTATGTTAATGAGCGATATTTCCTTTTTCCAGGGAATGGATTCGTAAACTCAAGAGCTTCTCCAAATTTGATCGGAACTACTGGTGCAAATAGTTTAGGCAAAGTCATGCCCACAAAGTCTCCCCCGCCACCAGGCGGCGGCAACCTAGGAATGAACAGCCGGAAGCCGGACCTGCGCGTGGTCATCCCCCCGTCCAGCAAGGGCATGATGCCGCCTCTGGTACGTAAAGCCTTTCTTCAGTTTCGGTCTCTGAAACGCGTGTTTTATACAGAGTCAGTCTGTATTTTCCTTTGGAATGTTCCAGACTTCCATAGAATCTAGACTTTTCCTAATGATTACTTCTGTTTGAAATTAGCATCTGAAGAAACAAGTCTATTTTAAATACACAGAAATCAGATTAAGGAGAAATGGGAAATAAATAAATCTGCTTAATGGTTATTTACCATTAAAGCTAACTACGGAGAGGTTAACTTGGGGTGTAATTTTAATTTTACCAGGCTGGAATCTTGACTTAGAGATTGCATCCCCAAACTGATCAATGACCCAACTTAAGTATTTTTTTACTCTGTACTGTGCATACTTTCAGTAATCTACTGCACATGCTTTTCTGTGAGGAAACACTATACTATTTTTTTAGGAAATCCTGTATACCAAGAGAACTGCTGTAGACTTGAGAAGAATGCATAAAAACCTGAATGAGTTATTCTCCAAACAAGTTTTTGTTTATTCCCGTTCAAATAACCTTCCCACTTAAGTCTGTAAAGAATACAGGTCCTCTCAGCCCAGCACTTGACAGTGCCTTCTTAGTTCCAACCTCATCCACCTGGAGTCCTGTGTGTTTAAGTACAGAATTCAAAAGTTTATCCTCCTAGTATCCTGTGGGAAAAAAATTAGGATGTATGTGCAAGTTTTAAAACAATTCTTAGTTTGGCAGCTGTCTGACTACGCGCACACAGTGCGATGTGCCAGCGGTTCTGTCGACTGAGTAGCTGCTGAACTCAACATGGGCGTTTTCGCAAGTGAAGGCAATGCTCACAGGCTTTAGATAATACTTTCTGCCTTTGCACACGGCTTTGTAGCTTCCTAAACATCTTTATCTGCATTGTCTCCTTTACCGAAAAACTGACCTTGACTGGGCAGAGAGGAGGAAACGGAGGGAGAGGTTAGTATTTCTGCAAGGAAGTACATGAGAGAGCCAGGACCGAAACTCTTTTAGGTCAAAAAACAAAGAAGTACTTTTTTATTTGGAGATACAGAAAGCTGGAAACTGTGTCCCTCCCAGCCTTTCAATAAAAAAAAAGTTGGACAAACAAAACGTTCACAGTTCTCCGTGAACACACTGTAGTGCTAAAATTTCAGGGCGACTCACTGGCCCAGACTCCGTCTGGGGCGAGGGCAGCGGGAGCACTGACTTCCCCGGACAGGGAGGCGCAGGTGGCAGGAGTTAAGCTGGGGCCCTGGGGAGGCGTCGGAGGCCAAGTGTCTGCTGGCCAGGCTGGGGCCCCGATGTGGGGAGTCCGGCTTGTGCAGGGATCTCCGGCGCTCAGGGGACAGACCGGGAGTGTCCTGAAATGGTCCCTTCTGAGCTGGGGACGGGGCAGGAAACTCCGCCTGGATCCTTCTCCCCACCCTCTCCCGTGGGACAGAATCTGTGCGAATCTGCCGAGATGAGCAACAACGCGGGCCCTTCGGACCCTGGTGAGATCCCCTCGTGTCTGGGGAAATGGAAAGGGAGAGCAATGTCAACTCATGTTTATGAGACTTACTAGTAAACGGCAAAGTTGATAGACAAACCACATTTAAGGCTTTTAGCAATTTGCCAAGATTATCTCCGGTTTTCTTTAAAGAAGCGATCACAGAGCATCTCCACGGAATACTCCAAAGCAACCACGTAAACTGTGGATGCTGTGACCCTGGAGGTTGCAGTGAAAAGCACATGCGCGCCCCAGAGTCTGGTGGTGTCTTAGAGTTGGAGGCGTGTGACTGTTCTCTAACTCCAGGGTTGAAGGGCACCTCGTTTGAGTTGTTCGCCAAGTGCTTTTTTGTTTTGTCCCTCCCCCCGCCCATGGCAAACCACCAGCCTTCCTCCTATGTTATGCCATTTCTTGGCAGATAAAGCTGCTTTCAGATTGGGGCTCCATGTATCAGTGATGCTTATAAAGACACCTTCCACAGACTGACAAGCTTGACTTATTCAACTAAAATAAGAAAAAACTAGCCAGCAGAGTATCGCTGGCATGTTAATATTTTCCGGTGTTTCAGAGAAAAGGAGCAAATAGGTTCCGGTCGTCTCCGCCCTGCACGTGGTCCTCTGGCCGCCCCGCTGCAGCCCCTTCCTCCTGTGTGTGGGCTCGCTCTCCTGCAGTGTCTTTATTCACAGGAAAGCTGTGTTTGCAAATGGTAGACACATATGAATCTCTGTTATTTAAAATTGTTATCCACCAGTGTTTGAGGTGTCGTCTCATGACACTGTGCTAAGCTACTGTGGGAAATAATAAGGAAAGTAATTTCTGCCCAAGCATCACCAGACCCTAGCAGGAGATACATGAGGTGCGTGGCCAGGTGGGGCAGGGCTGAGAGGGTGGGAGGGAAGGCCAGAGGTGGGCGCTCAAGGGCCCCGGCACCAGCTGGCCTGGCGGGCGGGGCCCCTTTCAATAGGGCGACGCCAGCCCGCGTGGGCGCCGCCAGCGGGAGAGCAGATTGCGTTGTGGGGAGGCACGTCTCTCGGCCCTGGCCCTGGAGAACGCGAAAGAATCTTTCCAGTCGTTTGAAACCCGCTACAAGTACAGAACCAATAAATAATTTATATTTGTACTTACTGCATATATAATGACCTACTTAAGAGTTTCCAGGAAGTGGTAGTGTCCAAATAACATGTTTTCCTAAAGAAATACTTTACTTTTGAATACCAGCAGTCTCAGTAACTCTCTTATCCCTCTTATGTGCTGAGTGCAGTCGGAGGAAGAGGAGTTGGAGTTGGTGAGTGTGGGCTTCTGCTTGGAGGGAGCTGAGAAAGATGTAGGAAGTGCTGACCCTGCCGCGTGTGTTTACCTAACCAGTGTTCCCTTTGTCACACGGATTTTTTTTTTCTTGTTATTAAACACTGTTCAAACACTTTGAATAACTAAACCAATCTCCTGGTAATGCAGCGTCAAGTTTTCTATTTATAATTGTATATCTTGATCCATTTTATCTGCTGCAGGGAACATTGGATAAAGTGTTTAAAAACAATGGTTGTCCGTGATCACAAGACACTTGTTAAAGATTTCTTTGAAGATGCAAAATACCTTATATAGTTTCCCAAATTATTGACATATTTTTAGAAAATGACTTCACCTTCAAAGTTCCTTGGATTGTAACACATGGTCTTGTGTTATTTCTCTTTCTTTCAAAATGATTACATCATTTTTGGTGAGGTCACCTTTTTCACAGAGTTGGAATTATTTCATCCTGCATGAAAGGCTCTGAACCACAAAGGGGTTCCCTGTGTGCCAAAGGAATGTCTATATTGTACACACATTTACTATTTTTTATCAGAAGATATTCCATTCTCAAAAGCAGCTATTAATACCTTTTTTCCAAAACAACTGATTTCTATTTGCTTTTTGTCTAGAAAATAAGTTTGACTAAAAATAACTTTCAGTTGATCTATTTTTTGTTTGGGAACGAAAACGCAAACCTCACAGAAGTGAGCGCACGCATCCAGCACAGCCGCTCACTGGAGCGCTGGGAGGGCGGCGGAAAGCCGAGGGCGCCCGGCTCCGGCAACAGGCGCAGGCTGCATGCGAGCATGGGGCGCCTGCTGGCTTCCTGGGCATGTTCGTGCATGCTGGCGTGTTGTGCACAGTTGTTTCTTTTAAAGTAAGGTGGTGCTCCGTTTGTAAAACAAGAGCTCGTTCTTTATTTAACTTGGTGATCACTCTCACGGTTTTGGATGTGGTTTTGTATTGGTTAAAATATACTATAAGCTGTCATTGTAGTGCTGGATTGTATCACGTGCAGATTTGGACTGGCTTTTGGGAAAATACTTAACGATACAGTAATGATTACCAAATGGAAGTTTACAATTGGAGATAAAACAATTCATAGTAGATTTAGACTTCACCCTTAAGCAGCTGTCATGAAGGCTTCCTTGGGAATTACCTAGCAGTATATCGCCCTCTAGTGGTCCTGGAAGTCACTCATTCTTATAAAACTCAGTGCCTAACGTCTAGGAAGTTGCCATAGTGGTTTGAACTCTGGAATAGCATCGCGGGCGGCCCCGGCCCTGAGTGAGGAAGGACGCGTGCCCCGGGGCCACACCGAAGACCCCCGCTGTGAGGGTCGGCTGCCCAGTCCTCAGGGAGCCTCGTGGCCCAGGGCACCTCGCCCTCACGGCAGCTCCGGGGCTGGCTGCGGATCGGGAGGAATGATGTGCTGGTCCTTCTCACCAGTTGTATAGAAGTCTTGGGTCCGAGGGTTTGCCGGGACCATAAGGTCCTGTCACACTCGTGCGGCACTCAGTTCCCTCACGCAGCTCTCGGAGCAGCACTGCAAGCAGGCAGCCCAGGGGCACGAGCCCGGGGCCTGGGACACAGCCCTGGGCGGTCCAGCCACGTGCTGAAGGGCCCAACGTGCTCTAACTTAAGGTTGTGTAGAAAATACAGACCAAAAAGGAAGAAACCGAGCTCTGCACCCTTATTTAATACTCAGCGACCAAGTATCTAGATCTAGCCAACAGCCTTCATCTTTGAAAGTGGTGGCAGAGCACCCCACGTCCCGTTCTGATTCTCAGTAACCTCGAGAATGCCAAATTACACGTTCATTGAGGTGGCTCAGACCCCCAAACGCCAGGGATGGGGCTGTAACGTCTCTTAGAGACAACCAACCCTGGAGCTGGGTTCCGGCTCCCTTGTGTTCCGGAGCTTGCTCTGTCCCTCCGACCCTTGGTTTTGGAAGGTGCTCCCTCAAGCCAGTGTGGTGAGAAGCTGCTCTGTCACACACTTTTGCGGGACAGAGCTGACGTGTCTTAGACTGGCTTGAGTGTCCACAGCAGACCTTAGTCACTCAGCCCCAGTGCAGGCAGCGTCCTAGTGGGCGGAGCTGAGCAGTGAGCCTTCCCGCCACGGCCACCCTTCCGAGCTCCCTGCCGGAGCCACTCCTTGCCACTCCTTTCCGAGGAGGCGGAGGCGGAGGCCACACGTGTCTGAATCTGCTGTTAGAAAAGGGGTCAGTGGGTGGGCGATGTTGACGACGCGGGAGGCTCTGCATGTTTAAGGGGGCTTATGAGGAATTGCTGAACCTCCGCCGCGGTGTCCTGTGAACTGAAACTGCGCTAAAGCAAAGCCGTACTTCACATGCGCGCGTGCGCGTCCCCAGCCCAGCCGCGGCACCCCGGGAAGCAAGGCCGGGTCCGAGCTGCCCTTCAGGGAGCCGCGACTTCAGAGTCGTTCTGGCCCCGGTACTGATGGGCTTACAGTTGCTTCGCACACTGGTGGCGTTCGCCGCCCTCAGGTATTTACACCTGCAGGCGTTCTGGCCCGGGCAGCCTGGCCGCGTTTGCGGTGGCCTCGCGCCTGCACTGCCGCTGACACAGAGAAGGGTTAGCACCCCCGCAGCACGTTCCGTGCTGAGGGTGGGTCTCCAACACCAGTCACCTGTAGGCGAAGGACAAGCGAAGATGGATTATTATTGTAAAACATGTCCCTTAAAGTTAAATGTTTAGTTACGCCCATTAGTATTTATTTTTAAGGTTGTCACATCATCACTGCTTCAGGAAATGGCACATCATAAAACTGTGAAGAATGTCACTTTTAAATTGAATGCTATTTTTAAAATGCTAAGTCTGAACGCACATCCTCGCGTGATAACACGTGCTCCTTTCCCCCCTCGCAGAACCCCCAGAGGATAAACAGTTCTCAAGCCGCGCAGCCCCTCGCCACACCGGTCGTGTCCGTGACGACGCCCAGCCTGCCCCCGCAGGGGCTGGTCTACTCGGCCATGCCGACCGCCTACAACACTGGTGAGCCGCCGGCGCCGCCGGCCCTGGCGTTTCCTTCTGTTGTGGGATCCACGTGCGCTTTTGTGATTTTTGTAAAAGAGTGTGTAGTGAGATCCAGTATGTGCGGTATTTTGGGGTCACGTTTCGGGTAGTAAGAAAACATGCCAGCCCGCCCTGAGGACACCCATCGCAGAGCGGTTTCCCAGCGTGGACTTTGCCTTTCCCTCCCGCTGCACCCAGAGCTGCGGCGGGCAAGGCCCGACCCGGTGTCGCTGTCCCGCACAGCGTCCGGCCCTCCCAGGCGCCGCGCCCTGCACGGGTGTCGGCCTGCCCTGCCCTGGCCTCAGGCCCCGGGCTGGCAGAGGTCTCGCTGTGCTGGGCACGGTGTCACCGCCATGTAACTGCCTGTTTGGTTTCCGCTGTTTGGGTCCGAGGGACAAAACCGGGACCTTTCTCGTTTGTCCTGAGCCAGTCAGTCAGTCCCCGCCTCTGAGAGGAACTTTTCACTCGTGTAGGCCTCTTTGGACACTTCACCGTGGAGCCCCCCATTTCAGGGTACGTTAGGAAGGCCGGACGATGCCGCGGTGACCTGAGGGCGCCTTCAGCTCCGGGGCGGAATGCGGAGCAGCCGGCGCGCAGGCCGGCCTTTCGCTGTGCCGTGCCGGGGGCTGGTGGGCTCCGTGGGGCTGGTCGCCCCCCACCACCAGCTGGGCCAAGCGCCTAACGCGCCCGAGGAGGAGGCGGGACACAGTGAGAGCACGCCCGCCTTGCCAGTTATCCCGGCGCTGCCGTGCAGGGTTTGCTCTTTCACGATTCTGCTCAGTGGCCTGTCGGCCCGTTCCAGCCTCGGGGCGAGCGCTTGGTCACGGCGCCCAAGGGCTGCGGGGCCACTGAGATGGGCGATGGCTGCTCGTGTGCCAAGTTGTTCTTTTAAAACAGGAACAACTTTAAAAGGTTTTGTTGAAAATGAAAACCTCTTGGGAAATGGTCACTATGTTCTCTTACCGTCAACATGGAAAAATGTCCAAATCCATCAGATGCAAACCTGGAGCAAAGCTAGGGCGTCCGTGCCCCCAGACGCTGGTCCGGGCGCTCGTCGCCGGCCCTGCAGGGCGCGCTCTGCGGGCCTCTCCTCCCACGTGTGTTCCGGTGAGAACAGGCCAGGCCTAAGTTGGGAAACACGGCGGGGACGTCCTGAGGCGACGTTTAAGTCTTCAATCCATTTTGAGTGTATTCTTGTGTACGATGTAAGAAAGTGGTGTAGGTTTTTGTGTGTGGTTTTTTGCATGCATCTGTTCGGTGCTCCCAGACCTTTTGGAGAAGAGGCTGTCCTCTTCCCACTGTGTGTTCTTGCCGCCTTGGTCAGATGCTAGCTGACCCTGTAGGTGTGGGGGGGGGGGGTGCGCGCGCGCATGCCGGGACCATCCTTTGTATTTATAGCCTGGTAGTGTAGTTTGATACCACGTAGTGCGGTACTTCCAACTTTGTTGTTCTTTCTCAAGACTGTTGTGGTTATGCATGGTTTAATGTGCTTCCACAGAAATTTTTGGATTTTTCTAGTTATGTGAAAAAGGCAGTTGCTTTTTTAAAGAACATTAATTCACTGGGAAGACCCATGTCATCAAACAGCTCTCGAGACAGGAAAAAAGCCGAGAGCAGCAGAGTGGCTGTCGCCGCTCCCCGGGCTCTGGAGGAGCCACGCGTCGGCGAGGGGCTGAACGGGCCCCCGAGGCGCGGACAAAGCGACCGTGGCCGAAGCCTGCGTATAGAGTGACCTGTGTTGTACTTACTGCTGTAACACCGCTTTTTTTCAGTAACTTGGAAATACTTACAGTCAGGGCTGCTCCACAGTCCCTGTGCTTTGAACACATGGAGTCAGTGTGCCTCTGTCGCCGTCGCAGAGCTTGGCTCCCAGGAGGGGGCGCCGGGACCGTCCTGTCCCCCTGCCGCTGTGGCCGCAGGGCCCGCAGGGCAGAGGTGCCCCTTTAGAACAGCAGCCGCCTCGTGCAGCCTTTTTATCATGTACGAGTCTAGAAAAAGTATCTCAACTTTTTGTGAAATAATGAACTACGCGTTTCAATTTTGTGCTAAATGTTTAGTTTATTGATATAATCCCAATTGAACAGAGCTGAGCCTATAAACCTGTCAAAAGAAAGTGTTTTGTGGGTTTTAGACCCATGAGTCTGTTGCTTTAGGCGGGGAAGTGCCCGGCTCCTCTCAGCCCGGAACCTCGGAAGCCGCTGTCGGAGGCCAGGTTTGCAGCGGGCGGCGTCTCCTTCTCCCTTTCAGACTATTCGCTGACCAGCGCGGACCTGTCGGCCCTGCAGGGCTTCGGCTCCCCGGGGATGCTGTCTCTGGGGCAAGTGTCGGCCTGGCAGCAGCACCACTTAGGGCAAGCCGCCCTCAGCTCTTTGGTGTGAGTACCGGCAAGTGCCCCGCCCGCCCCCTGCACCCTCCTGCTACCGGGGACTCCCCTCGGGGGCGCTGCAGGATGTCACCTGGTGTCCTGAGCAGAGAGGCAAGGGGGCCAGCCCGCAGGCCGGCCGGGTCCGGGATGCAGGCCCCCTCTGCTGCGCAGGCCCGCCGTTCTCCTGGCTCCACAAAGCGCTCCGGCGGCCCGAGTACGGGGAGGGAGCTTCGGGCTGCGCGGCTGTAGGTCAGCAGCCCGCACACCGAGCGCAGGCGGCCTGCCGTAGAGAGTGAGAGGCTCCTCTCGGGGACGCGCTGAGGGGGGGGCTCAGCCTGAGGGGCACCCCTGTGCGCCCTGCCCACCGAGCCGCCCGCTCCCACCTGCCAACACCTGCGCGCGGCCCTGCTGTGTGCATGGAGGCGCTGGAAGGCGTTGGGGCGCCCACGGCTCTACCAGCAGAGAGGCGAGGAAGGGGAGCTGCGCCTCGTCCTCCTGCTCGTTTTGGGGGCGGGGGGCGTGGCGCAGAAGTAGGTTTACCGTTGTGAGTACGTGGAACAGTTTATTCTTGTCACTACATGACTTCCTACGCGAGCACCCGTAAACCTGCTTCTGCCCACCCTGTAATGGAGAGAGGCTTACGGGGGCGCCCGGGAACCCAGAGAGCGGCAGGCCCATGGGGCAGGGGGCACACAGCATCCCGGAAGAGGGGACCGCACAGCGGCCCCCCGCGAGGGCTCAGTGAGCCATGCGCTCCGTGCTGCTCTGAGCGCACTGGGAGGTAGGTCCTGGACGTCGCCTCAGGCCTGCGCTAGGCCTCCTGAAGGAGCGTCTTAAAACTGTTCCTGCCACAGAGAGGGGGCGCTGGCGCGCGCCCCTCCCCGGCACCGCTCCACGCAGGTTGCTCACCCTCCGAGACCGCAGGTTGCTCACCCTCCGAGACCGCTTCCTCCTCTGGAAGCTGCTGGGAGCGCAGGGGGCGTGCCCGTCACGGCCAGAGCCAAGGCCAGGCTGTCCCTGTAGGGCTCTGCGCAGGCCCTAGACGCCAGCCCTGGGGTGGGCGCTCTGGCCGCAGAAGTACCAAGGGCGTGGGCAGAACTGGCCCCTGGGGGTCTGGAGTAGACTGTTTTGGGGGTTTCTTCCTGCCAGGGAGATGTGGTTTCTTTGGGGGCCAAGCACTGAAGGAAACAACCAAAGCTTGGGGGGTCCGGCCACAGCCGGCTAACATCTTGTTTTTCCCCTTCAGCTCTGGAGGGCAGTTATCTCAGGGTTCGAATTTATCCATCAACACCAACCAAAACATCAACATTAAGTCAGAACCAATCTCACCTCCCCGGGATCGCATGACCCCGTCAGGCTTCCAGCAGCAGCAGCAGCAGCAGCAGCACCCGCCGCCGCCGCCGCCGCCGCCGCCCTCACAGCCCCCGCAGCCCCCGCAGCCCCCGCCCCAGGCGCGGCAGGAAGTGGGGCGCTCGCCTGTGGACAGCCTGAGCAGCTCGAGCAGCTCCTACGACGGCAGTGACCGGGAGGACCCGCGGGGGGACTTCCATTCTCCCATTGTGCTCGGCCGACCCCCAAACGCCGAGGACAGAGAAAGCCCTTCTGTGAAGCGGATGAGGATGGACGCCTGGGTGACCTAAGGCTCCCGGGCTGGTGGTTTGTACTGTGTCACTGCAGTGAGCTGCCCTACGTATCTAAGTTGGTTGGTAAGGACATGAGGTAAATATATTTATGTGCACATACATACATATCTGCCCTTCACGTATGTATGTATGTGGGTGTGTGTGTGTGAGTGGGTGTGTGTTGCAAACACAGAATCAGGCACTTACCTGCGAACTCCTTGTCGATCTGCAGATACGCGTCCCTGGCAAACCCAGCGCCCCGTAGGCAGAGTCTAGTCGGCACTTCCTGGACTACTTGTTTCACGAGATAACCAGTTTTTGCAGAGAAACGTGTACCCATATGTCCTTCCCCCACAGTAGCTTGCAGAAACCTAGAGGGCCCCTACTCGTTTAATTTAACTGTGCGGTGACTGTAGTACTTCAGAAAAAATGCTTTGTAGAACAGAGCAGTAGAAAAGCAGGAACCAAGAAAGCAATACTGTACATAAAATGTCATTTATATTAACTACCCAACCTGGCATGGGTCTCTTTTGCAAAGGGGTGCATGGTAAAGGGCTGTTGATATTAAAAAACAAAAAAAGCCCCACACGTAACTGTTTTGCACGTGCAAAAATGTATTGGGTCAGAGAAGTGATCTTTAGCTAATAAAAGAGAGAATAGAAAACACGCATGAGATCTTCAGAAAATACTAGCCTAGAAATATAGAGCATTAACAAAATAAATTAATATATTAAGTTATAATTGGAATATGTCAGAAGTTTCTTTTTACATTCGTATCTTAAAAAATAAACTGATTTTAGCTCATGTATATTTTATATGAAAGAAAACACCCTTATGAATTGATGACTATATATAAAATTATATTCACTACTTTTGAAAACATTCTGCTATGAATTATTTATATAAGCCAAAGCTGTATGTTTAAACTTTTTTTTAAGAGACTAGCTTTATCTTGTTTTAACTTTTTAGTTTTATTTTAAGAGGGAAAAAATATCTTGCAAGCAGAACCTTGGAAAAAAAAAGCCATGAACACTTATTATTCTATATATAAATTAAAAGTTGAGCCAAACTTTCTGTATATAGCATCTTAAATATATTATCACCTTTGATGTAAGTACCTATGTATTGTATGGTCACCAGATTAAAAAGTATATTTTTGTGGATTTGCCGCCAATTTGGGGGGCGGGGGGAGGCGAGATCCCTATTAAGTAGAGTATTCACTGTTTAATATTTACTATTTTGTTAAATATACTGTACTTTGGATTTTAATTATTAGCCCAGTCCTTTCAGGGGGTTGTGTAAAGGGGTCCCCCCTCACTGGTGGTGAGTGTGTGGTGTTGCATTGTAATCTTTGTGCCGTATGGGTTGAGCATCATTATATATTTTATATGTGTACATAAATAGCAAAGTGGCAAAAAAAAAAAAATTGGTGTTAAGTTCATCCTGCATAAATATAAAATGTGTTGTAACAGACTTTATAAGGCATTATTTAAAACTTGCCTTTTGTGAGGAAAAAATAGTAGAAAGAGCTGACCTAATATTAAAGAAACTGGCAGAACAGATGAGCACAAAGGTTTTATAAGTGGTAAATGATTAGGGAGCATTCGGGGGGGCGGGGGCCCTTTTCCCCTTGACCCTCTGAAGCGAGACGATGTAGCCCACTCGTGCGGACACGACACCCGTTGGGGGGAACCCTGCCGGGCAGCTCCGGGCGGCCTCGCCGCCCCCAACTCCGACCCTGACCGAGGCCTTACGTGTACCGGGGACAGCAGGTTCGCCCGCGTTCTGGGCTCGTGCCATGAACAAAATTCAAAGTCCTGTAGATCTTTTGCCATAGATTTTTAAATGCTACTTTTCCTGAGAAACTCAAAATGAGGGTTTAAAAATGCTGCTATTTTATATTTTACACTTAATATTGAGCAGCTACCTACAATTTGTACTTACGTTTTTGTCTCCCCCCTAAATTGCATTCCTTCGGATGGTCTCCTTAGATGCTCTTTGTGACAAATCATCAGGCAGGCTTTCTGGCTGGCACGTGGCTATGAACCTGTGGCATCCACAGCTGCGAAGTGCCAGCCCGTCTGAGGGCCGGTCTGGGTAGGCGGCTTTGATGGCGGCCAAAGAGGGAGCGTGGCAGGCTCCCCCTCGTCAGTGCAGACTCACGGCTCGGCTCGCTCGGAAAGGACTCGTTTTTCTTTAAGACACGCTTCTTTTTCTGAACTACTTACTCACAGGCACATTTCTTCATGAGGTCACACCTGATTGAAATGAGACAGTCTCCCAACACTGAATTTCCGAGATAATCCTTACCACTTGTAAACCATTTATAGCTTTGAAAGTGTTAAGTGATCCTTCGTTGTTATTTATGCATGTTCATGAACTTCTGCTGTACATTGGCATAGGAGTTAACAGTCACATTTACTGTCTATTTTCTTGTGTGCCTTATGAGATGGCTTTTCTGACTGTATCTCAATAGTCTTTCTTTCTATGCAGGTTTATAAATCAGTACAACTACTGTTTTCTAAAATAATATTACACAAGGCTCGGAGTTTGTATTTCAATCACAATGACCAAGGAACAATGTATTCCGTTTTCAGGAACTGAATATTAGACTGTTAGCCCTTTCCCCACACGCGCAGTGACCGGGAGCATGTGGACGTGACAGACAGCCCGCACCACGACACACGTGCGAACACACACAGCTCCTGGCGGACGCCGCCTCAGACTGGGCAGGACACTAACGGGGTTACCTAGAACCTACATTTCTTACCCTTTTAGACTCATGTGTTTTGTATGACACCATCACAAGAAAAATTTATCCATTCAGATGAAGTATTTTATTACTAAAAGACAAAAACAAAAAAAGCTTAGCGCGAATTGCACTGGTTACAGCACAGTGTCCAACAGCTGTGCTTTCTTCAGGACCCTAATTACATGGAGAGACGGTCACCACGGGAGGTCTACAGGTGGTCCCAACCAAAACTCCATCTCGTGAGCCCTAATTACGTCCATTGTGTCAGAGACTAAGTCAGGGGTTTGTTCTAAGAGGAACAATATGTTTCACCATTTCCTTTCACTAGAAGGACAACTAATAAAGCATTCACATATTTTCTGTACTAACCATCATGCGCACAAGAAATACATAGTAAATAAGGAACCAGAAACTCCTGGCATTGGATCATAAGAAGCTAGATGATTATTAGAATGTGAAAAAGATTTTACAATGTAAAACTTTTCTTTCTCTGTAGAAACTTTCTTCACTTTGCTGTGCAAGAAGACACTGCTTTGCTATATTTAAAATGGCTTTTTTAAAAGAGATTTATGTATTTGGTAAATGTTTGTAGTCAACAGTTCACACGAGAAGCTGTACGCGGTTTGACCACGTAAAACCGTTTGGCGGCACAAGCTGGACTTTGTTGCCATCCTTGAGATGAAAACTAAGTTAATCTCAATTTCTCCCTGATGTGTTGTTTTTTCTTCATTATACAATAAATATTATAGTGAACTTTTTATCAAATGGATAAGAAAATGCTAGAGGTTGTTGTAAACTATTTGTATCCTGCACTCACTACAGTAAAGACAGACTGGCTTTCCTGTGTACTCCAGACTCTGTCGTGTTTGCCCCCAGCCGTCCCCAGCCCCTCTCCCGTCCCTCCCCCGCAGAAAGGCCTCCCGCCCGCCTGCCAGCCGCGCCCACCGGGCTGGCCAGGGCCCCGCAGGACTCAGCCACCGCTGTGAGTCCACCGCCCCATCCGGGCTCCGACAGTGGCCCTGCACGCGGGTCTCGTGCACACGCCCAGGGGGTGGGGGCGGGGGCTCCCCTTAGAGTCTGTCGTGCAGGCGTGTGGTGAAATTACGTCTCACCCAAGGCGCACACGTAATGCTGAGCTGGGGCAGCAGAAGACAGATTTCCTAAATGAATCCTTACTTTTAAAAGCAATAGGTGGGAAAAACGTGCGGTGCGGAGTGTTCTCTTCCTCTGATTTGCCGTCTAAGCCTAGCCAAGCAGATTCTTGCAGTCAGTTAAACTAAAAGCTACATTTTTATGCCGCCTTTACTTGCTGGCCAGAGGGAGGCTATTCGCAGGGCTCTGAGAGCTGGTGGAGTGCGGCGGCTGAAAATGCCCTCACCGCACCTGCCGCTATTGAAAGTCACGGCGACTGCCCGGGCGCGCGCCCACACCCCTGCTCCCCGCGGTGGAAGCTGGCTCTCCGCCGGCTGCGGCCCGGGGCCCACGAGGGGTCACTGACACGCCAGGGAGGGGGTGGCTGCGTGGCCTCGCGGCCCCGAGCCCGCCTGCCACCGCGGGAGCTGCGGCCACGATCTGCCCGGCGGGCCTGGTCTGCCACGGCTGCTTCCGCAGCTCGGAGGACACGCTCCGGACGCTAGTCGCCTCCGACACACACCGCCTGCCCGCGCGCTCGCGACCACAGCAGATGGACGTCGCTGGGAAGACGAAACATCACAGCCGTGCTAACTGGTTTCACTGCATAACCGCCCACCCCTTTTTAACTTCATTTTAAACGAAACGTCTTAAGAAGTTGAAAAAATAATAGTTTGTGTCACCCAACTTCACCTAATGCTGACATTTACATAACCCAGCGCTGCTCACAACCAAGGTATTCACGTTGATACGGCACTGACTAAATGCTACGTTTGAATTTTACCATTTTCCCACTGTCTGTCTGTCTGTCACAGGATCCAATTCAGGATCCCACGTGGCAGTCAGTTATTTCTACGGGTTCCTCAGTCTTGCCTTTGGAAAGAAAAGACACTTTCGAAGGCCACCGATCAGCTGCTTGAGTCGTGTCCCTCAGTGTGGCTTTGTCTGGTGTCTCACCTTGGGTGGGACCAGCCTGCGCGCGTTCTGGCAGGGATACCGCGGACGCGACATGTCCGCGTCTTACTACAGTTGCTGTGGGCCGTGACCACTTGGTTAAGTGGATTCCGGGGGGGGGTCCCCACTGTAAAGTTGCCTTTCCCTCTGTACCTGCGCAGCGTCTCAGGGAGGTACTTGGAGGCCAGACAGGCGTCTCCTCAGACTTGGGCCCGCTGCCTGCGGCGCCTTGCCCGCCGGCATCCCTGCTGGGGTGCGGCCCCGTTTCGTCCTACACTGGCCATCGGGCTGCCGGGAGGAGAGCTGTCCGTTCCCTCCACTCCGTCAGCTGCGGGCATCGCTGTGGGCTCAGGGGTGCTTAGTTCACCCTGTGGGTTATAATCTAGTGCCGTCAGTAGTTTGCCCCTTGAGTTATTTCACCCTTGGCCACTGAGAGCCCCTCCTGCTGGGGTCCCCTGCCCTTTGGAAAAGCCCCTCCACACTGTGGGCATTTCCTTACTCCCCGGCAGTGCGCGCCCCACTCGGACCGGCCCCGACCCAGGGTCGGACCAGCAGCTTCTCCCAGGAAGACATCAAAGCGGAGATCAAGAAAGGTCTTGAAATAACTGAAAATGGAAACTGTACAAAAACCTACGGGATGCTACGGAAGTAGTTCCTAAAGGAGAAGTGAGTTTATAGAAATACATGGATATATAAAGACAGCAAAGATCTCAAACCTACACTTACACCCCAAGGAACTAAAATAAATAAACAAACAAACCCAGTTTAGCAGAAGGAAGGAAAAACAGTACAGAGCAGAAATAACTTAGAGATCAATGACACTAAAAGCCAGTTTAGAAAAAGACTTGAGAAGTCAAACTACACAAGAAAAAGTCAGAACTACAATGAAAAAGACATTGCAATTGATAACCACAGACACATGCAGCACCACAAGGCATTGCTATGAAACGAATATCAACAAATGTGAAAACCCAGAGTAAATGGGTAAATTCCTAGAAACATAAAACCTACCACGACTGAGTTGTGAAGAAACAGAAAACTGAGCAGACAATACTGAGCATGGAGAATGAATAAATAATCAGAAACCTCCCAGCACAAAAAAGCCCGGGGCCAGATGGTTTCACAGGCGAATTCCATCAAATATTTAGAACGATTAACAGTCCTTCCCCAACATTTTCAAACAAACAAAAAAATAGATAAAGGGGGGGACAATCCAAAACTCATTTTACGAGGCTAGTATCAATTACCCTGGCACCAAAGCCAGACAAGGACAACGTAAGAAAGAAAATTACAGACCAAGATCCTTCACGAACACAGATGCAAACATTCTCAAGAAATGAGCAAGGCAAATTCTAAGGCACCTCAGAAGCATTCACCGCACGTGAGATCTACCCCGGGGATACGAGGATGTTTCAGCAGTCACTGTGCAACGCTGCCCGAACAGAACGAAAGACCAGAATCACGTGATCATCCCAGAAATGCAGAAAGAGCCTTTGACAAGAGACAACATTCCCTCCTGACAGAAACGCTCAGCAGACTGCCTACAGGAGGAACGCACCGCAACGTGATGAAAGCCACGCACCAGGCCTCCACAGGGAAAAGCTGAAAGCCACCTGTCTGAGGTCAGAATGGCATATTCTGGAAGCCCCGGCCAGAGCAGTCGGGCTTCCCTGCAGCCGAGGGTCTGCACCCCCCGCCCCGCCCTGCAGGGCAGGACTGACACCCCGGCAGGGCCTGAGGCCACAGAGAGCACAGGGGCCCCCACCTCCTCCACTCGTGCCGGGGAGCCCGGAGCCGGCCCCGGCCACCTGCCTGCCGCGCCACGGCTGTGTCTGCAAGCGACAGGGCCGCCCCGCGGCCAGCTCCAGCCACCGCTGCTGCCGCCCGCCCCCAGCGCCTGGTCCTGGACACAGGGCTTCGGAGCCCCAGGGCCCCGCACCCGGACAGACCCACGCACGCGCGCGGGGACGTGCAGCTGTTGCCAAGGTGGATGCCAGGGCGCTGAACCAGAGGCACCCCAGCCCCTGGGACCCAGCACTGCCACACGCCCTGCACCCTTGGATATGAGGTCACAGCGCGGACCCAGCCGCAGGGGAGAGTCTCCCCTTCCCAAAAGTATCCCATGAAGTTGGAAGAGGGCACGACTCCTTCCAACGCGCAGATACCTCCACAAGGCGAGAGGGGTCACAAAGGACCCGGCAACGCACCTCCACTGAAGGTGGGGGACCTCCCACCACTGGGCGCAGAGGAACGGAGACCAGGAATTCAAAATAATTCTTGCCAGATCAACTATTAAAAATTGTACATGGTGTCAAAAACTGTGAAACTGGGGAGAGTAAAAGGGTAGTTTCAAATATGTGATCATACTAAATTATCACCATAAAATACACTGTTGTATCTATAAGATGCTTTATGTCAACCTCCTGGGAACCCCAAAGCAAAAATATACAGTAGACGCACACAGAGTAAGGAGAGGGAAACAAGGCACACCACGCAGGCCAATTTACAAAGGCAGGCAACACGAAAGGGCGAAGGAAAAACAACTACAAACAGCCAGACAACAATAAGGTGGCATCATAAATCCTCACCAAATGCCAATGGGTTGAATTCTCCAAACAAAAGGCATGGACTGGCTGGATGGACTTAAAAAAACAGGACCCCGCTGGGTGCTACAAGAGACACCTCAGCGCTAAGGACACACCTGGGTTCAAAGTGAGGGGCAGAGAACGACACCCCACACGGGCGGACTCCAAAGAGCGTGGTAGCTGTGTAAGGTCAGACACAACTGACTTTAAGCCAAAGACGTAATTACAGAATAAGGGGGTCAATTCATTAAAAAGATACTAACGATCATACATCTGTATGCACCCAACATCAGGTAACTGTGATACATTAAGCAAATACTGAGAGACCCAAAGGGAGACACACGCAACGTTACACTATGGAGGGGCTTTGATACCGCACTGCCAACAAAATTCCAGACAGAAAATCAACACAGAAATGTTGAACGTGACTGTACTTTAGACCAAATGGGGCTCTAGACGTAAACATCCCATCCAACACCACCACGGCACGCACCCCTCTAAGCACACACGAAGCCTGCGCCCAGACAGACCACCAGGCAGGCCCCAGGGGCCCGGCGGATTTAAGACTGAGCTCCCGCCAGCTGCTTTCCAGCCACAGCAGGACGGGACCAGCGGTCCCCGAGGAGCAGAGCTGGGAAAAGCACCACCACATGGAGACTGAGCAACATGCTCCTGAAAACCAGCGGCTCGAAGGAGACTCCAAAGGGAACTCAAGACACAGCAGGAAGCATGTGGAAAGAGGCACAGGCCCCCGGAGGGAAGCTCGGGGCGGAGGGCGCCCGGTGAGAGGCCGGGAAGGGCGCGGGGCGATGGCCCCACTTCACCCCGCGAGGCACGAGAAACAGCCTGACTCTACATCTTAAGAATTTAAAAAATGAAGAACAGACTGAGCCAAAGTTAGCAGAAGCAAGGGAATAATGAAGATCAGAGTAGATGTATGAACTAGAGAACAGAATAGAAACATGAACAAAACTAAGCTGGTTCTTTGTGAAAATAAATCAGATCGACAACTCTTTAGGTAGACCAACCGAGGCAAAAGAGAGAAGACCCAACTCAACAGAACTGTAAATGAAAAAAGGAGTCATTACAACTGAAAACATATACAAAGGACCGTAAGAGGCTTTTACGGACAACTATATGCCAAAACCGGCACAGCCTAGAGGAAACAGAAGAGTTCTTAGAAACAACCTCCCAAGACTTCATTCAGGAACAAACGAAAAAGTCTCAACAGACCAATTACTAACAAGACTAAAGCAATAATCAAACTGTCTAAACAAAGCAAGCCCAGATCAGATATCCTCACTAGTAAGTTTTACCAAACCCTTAAAGAATAAACACCAATCCTTTTCCAACTGTTCCTAAAATCAAAGCCAGAACACTCCCCAACTCATTTTACAAGGCGAGCGTGACCCTGGTACCAGAGCCAGAAAAAGACAACGTAAGGAAACCACAGGCCAATTATCCCTGATGAACATCGGTGTGAAATCCCCAATAAAATACTAGCAATCAAAGTCAGCAGCACATGAGAAGGACCATTCACCGCGAGCAAGTGGGGTTTATTCCAGGGATGCAAGGACGGTTCAACATCCCCGAATCAATCGATGTGATGCACCTCCTTAATAAAATGAATGTTAAGAATCCTACGATCATCTCAATAGAAGCAGAAAGGGAATGTGACAAAATTCAACATCTGTTCGTGATAAAAACTCTTCACCCAATTGGGTTTAGAAGGAATGCACCTCAACATAAGAAAGGCCACACGTGACAAGCCCACAGGTGACGCCCTGCGTGATGGCGAAAGTCTGGAAACTGGCCCTCAGAGGTCAGCGCAAGGACAGGGCCCCCGCCGCTGCCCCGACTCACTGCGGCATCGGAAGTCCCGGCCAAGGGCACGCAGGCGAGGGAAAGAAAGAAATGCATCAGAATTGAAAAAGAAGTACAGTTGCCTCTATTTGAACATGACTACTTTATATATACAAAATCCTAAAGACTCCGCCAATAAGCTGTTAGATCTAATCAATAAATTCAATGAAGACCCAGGATACAAAATTAACAGACAATAATCAGTATATGCATATCCTAACAGTGAATTATCTGGGGGAGGGGAAAATAAAGAGAATGATTCCATTTACAGTAGCATCAAAAACAATAAAATATTTAGGGATAAATTGGACCAGGATGGTGAAGGGTCTCTATGCTGAAAATGACATGGAACGGGTGGAAGACCCCGAAGACAGGGCCACATGGAGAGGTGGTCCCGTGTTCATGGACGGGGAGACTTAAAAGTGTTACAGTTCCCACACTCCTCAAAGTCATCTACAGAATCACACTATTGCTCTCAAGATTCCAATGGTTTTTTTTTTTCCAAACAGAAGCAGAAGAAAGCAACGCTAACTTCTAGGCAAGTGCAAAAGACTTTGAATCCTAGGCGATCCTAACAAATGAGTACAAGGCAAGGGACATCAAACTTCCTGATTTCAAAGTATATTATAAAGCTGTAGTAATCAAAAAGCTGGAATACTATAAGCTACAGTATTACAAAGCTATATATAGTATTGTAAAGCTACAGCAATCAGAGCAGTGTGATAATGGCATAAAACAGACACAAGCCAACGGAACAGAATCGAGAGCCCAGAAACAAACACATGCCTATACAGTCAAGTAATATTTGGCAAGGGAGCCGGTCCTCAGCGGAGAGAAGACAGCCTCTTCAAAAAACAGTGCTGGGAAAACTAGATATTCACATATAAAATGATAAAAGTAGATCCCTTTCCTACACCACTCACAAAAATTAACTCCAAATGGATTTAAAGTCTTGAATGTAAGCATCAAACTCCTAGAAGAAGACATAGGAGTAGGTTTTTAAAAAAAAAAATTATCTTTATTTTTATTGACTTTATTGGGGTGACCCTGGTTAATAAAATCACACAGGTCTCAGGGGCACCGTTCTACAACACACCCTCCGTACAGCGTTCTGTGCGCGCTGCCCCAGGTCAGGTCCCCCGCCCGCCACGCCCCGGCCGCTCTCCCACCTCCCTCCACCCCCTTCCCCTCTGGCCACCACTTCCCCATTGTCTGTGTCTGAGTCATTTTTTTTTCTTTTTTCCACTTAATCCCTCCCCCTTTTAGACTACAAGCCCCTCCCCTCTGGCAGCTGTCAGTCTGTTCTCCACCTGTGAGTCTGTTTCTGTTTGGTTTGCTAGCTTATCTTGTTTGCTAGATTCCATAACTAAGAGAAATCATATGGTAGGAAGTGAGCCTCGGCCATGATTTCTGGGTGTAACCCCTAAACACAAGCCAGCATATCCAAAATGAACAAGTGGAACGACGTCAAACTAAATAGACTCTTGCCAACCAAGTGATCCATCAACAAAATGTAAAGACAACCTATGGGATGGGAAACAGTATTTGCAACCCTGGTATTTAATAAGGGGTTAATATCCAAAATGTATAAAGAACTTATACAACTCAATAGGAAAAAAAAAATCCAATTTAAAAATGGGCAAAGGGCCTGAACATCTTCCCAAAGAAGTTATGTGAACCACCAAAAAGTACATGAGAAGGCGCTCAACAGCCCGCATCATGCAACCCAAAACCTCAGTGATTGCGCGCCTCCCACCGGTCAGAATGGCTACCATCAAAAAGACAAGAGACAAGTGCTGGCGAGGATGTGGGGAAAAGGGACTGTAAATCGTGCCGCTGCTATGGAAGACAGTACGGGGGTGCTTTTCGAAACGTTAAAAATAGAACGAGCCTATGATCCAGCGATGCCACATCAGGGAACATATTCAGAGGAGAGGAAAACGCTATGTCGAGAAGCTATCTGCACCCTGTGGTCATAGCAGCTTTATTTACAACAGCCAGGACACGGAGAACAAATGGATATAGAAGTTGTTACACACACACACACTGAAATACTGTCATAAAAAAGGAAGTCCTACCATTTGAGGGTGTTATATTAAGTGAAATAAGCCAGTCAAAGAAAGCCAAATACTGTGCGGTCTCACTTATGTGTGGAGTCTTTAAAAAACAAACAAACAAAAATCAGCAGCGAAACTCTTAGAAAAAAGAGATCAGATTTGTGGTCACCAGAGGCGGGGGGAGGGGACAATGGAAGAAGGTGGGTGAACAGTACCCCCTTCCCGGTACAAGGCCGGGAAGTACCGGGGCTGTAAGGTACGTGAGGACTGCAGTTAACGCTGCTGCGTGACGTACGTTAAACTCAAGAGCACATCTTGAGTTCTCATCAGAAGGACAAAGCACTTTCTTTTTTGTATGTGTGAGAATACAGATGTTAACTGAAGTTAACGTGGTGATCGTTTCACATTTCTGAGTTAAATCATTACACTGTACACTTTAAACTTACACAGTGCTGTATGCCCACTATAGCACAAAAACCTGGGGGAAACAGAAAAACGTTCAGGTCTTCTCTGAGGGCTGTCTTCACAGGGTGGCCCTCCCTCCCTCAAGCCCCCTCTTCACAGTTAAGGCAGAGGCAGCTGGAAGAGTGACGCGGGCAAGCGGGGCAGAGGCGTGGCCTCACGGGGCAGGGGCGTGGCCTCACGGGGCAGGGGCGTGGCCTCGGGGGGCAGCCCCGCCCTGTGTAACCCCCTAGGCTTCTGCTCTGAGGTCATGCAGCCTCGGCTCCGGGAGAAAAGTGAGGGATGTCCCTTGCCTGACACCACAGGCTCCCCAGCCCCACCGCTCAATGGTGAGCACCCAAAAGGACTGAACAGATTTAATCGCTTCTTTGAAACATGAACACCCCAAAGACACTAAAAACGTAGGAAGATACGTAGAAAACGAGCTTCGTAGCCTCTAGCGGGCACGCGGAATGAAACCATTTAGAGCACCTTATGCAGACTTCTCAGCGAGAAGGTGGGCGACCTTCACTTTGGGCACAAGCCCTGCACACGGTCCCCTCCATCTTCTCTGACACTCCGCCCCACATTTTGGTGAATTACCAGCCCCCAAGATAAAAAAAAAAAAAGAATCAATTTTCCTTCACAGAAGAAATAACTTTATTCCACTTGAAAAAAGTACAGGACACAGTTACTCATTCTTTGCCGGGCAAAAGTCATTTCCCCACAGGACTCTGGGCCCCACCCGGTGAAGTCAGTGGTGACAAAGGGAACCAGGTGGCCCTTGGGGTGAACAGCGAGCGAGCGTCTGGCTGGAAAAGCAATCCCAAGATTAACACGTTTTTTGTAGCAAAGGTTCCCAAGTTCATTTCACCCAGAAGACCATTTTGTCTTGAAGAGCACACGCTTAATTCTGAAGACAATTCATATTTACTCACTGAACCCGGGGCAGATCGCTTTTCACAAAACTGAGGGGGGGCCCGGCAGCTCATCTTGGGCGCCCTTCCCGGCCCACCGCCACCTCGTGGTGAGCCCTCCTCAGCCTACCGCTGGGGCCTCGCGTGTCAGCCGCCACCAACCAGGCCCGAGCTCAGGTGCGGTGCGTGTTTAGCCCCCTGGGGAGAGGCCTCCGAGGCAGAGCCACCAGCCTCCTGCCAAAGCAGGCTGCCCCCAACCCCCGGCCCGGGGCACCACTGTCGCCTGAACGGGAGAAGGTGGGCGAACCTCAGGTGGACAGGCTTCAGGCCCTCATTCCGTGGCTTTTCACAGCAGGGTCACCTCTACGCCCTCCCTTAAGTGTTTGGGCTTTTAACATTATGTGTCACATTGTACATAGAGTGTTGTTCACCCAAAGAAACACTCTACGCCCTAGGCTCTTCCTGTGGCTCCGGGACTCCGAACAGCGTCGGGGAAGCACCAGGACGCATGCCTGCCCCGACTGCACGTCGCTTCCAGGTGTGCGCGGGGCTGCTGCTCCTGGCAATGCTGGGCCTGAGACCGTGTGGCCTTATGCGTCACACGGAGGGACTTCAGGGACTGGCACGCATTCTCTGTACTCAGCTCCAGACGCTGGCCCGCAGAACGTCCTCCAGGAAAGCTGACGCGGGGAATCGAGTCAGTGAATGCTGCGGGGCGGGGGCGAGGGGGTGCTCCACAGGCAGGCGACACTGGGCACCAGCCCCCAGATGCTCTGCCAGGGCAGCAGCTTTGAACACACCTGAGCTTCGGACTGAGCAGCTCTCAAAGTATGACAAACAGAACTACTGTTCACTCAGTATCACAGCAATTAGAATTTAGGGCTGTTAAAAGTTATTTTACAAGTATCATTGCCTCAAAAAGGCTAACGGGTAAGGCAGAGAGGAAGCGGGTGACATTCACCATGACTGGGTAGCACCTTTCCCCAGGGAGACAGAGAACGCCACTGGTCAGAGCCAGTCACCCTCCAGGGCAGGCAGGGACCTCCGCCGACAGCCAGGCGACCAAAGCCGGGCCCCGCAGGTCCGCGGGCCAAGGCCAGCGCCCTGCTCCCCAGCACATCCAGTCTGGGGGCTGCACATGCTGTTGTGAAGACACTCACGCCCTCAACAAAGGCGGCCACGTCCCGTGTAAACACTTCTCCTGCACGCCTTTCGGGAGACAGGAGGCCAAGGACGTTGGTGGCTCGGCTCAGCAGCCGCGGATGAGGCGAGGACAGGGCATCGCTCACACGACGAGGGTGTTACATGAGACCACACTGGGGCTTCCGAAATGTGTCCACTCCCACAGGAAAGCAGACGCAGCCCCCTAGGAGGTGGCCAGTGCCAGCTGCAGTGCGTCAGGGGCCCCGTCGCTACAGCTGGCCTGGGCCTCTAGCGACGGCGGCTGCTAGTTCCCTGCCCAGGCGGTCGGCCTGAGCTGTCTGTCCAGAGAGGCGGTGGATGGCACCGGAAGTGCTGATTTGGGGGCCTGCCTTGGGCTGGCACTCACTGCCATCGAGCCATTGGGGACAGCGGTTGTGTTCAAGGTACTAGGAATCTCCCCAGTAGCTTGCATCTTAAAATAGACCACATAGAACACTGGTAAAACAATCCCAACGAGCAGCATGATGCAAACAGCGTTCCACCACGGAATTCCGCAGTCGGCTCCGTCGGTCGGCGACTTCGGAGGGGCCGGAAGCAGAGGCTGATCGGGGGGCTCCACGCAGTACCCTTCCTTTATAAAGATTTCTGACTGCACCACATGCTCGATATTCTGGTCGATGCCCCTGAAGAAATCTGTCAACGGGCTGGACAGGGCGCTGGCGCTTATGGCCGCTCCATCTTCGTCCGGCTGCTCGAGGGTCACTCTGGTCTCTGAGGAGGGGCTCAGGAGGGGCCTGAGTTCTTTGTGGGTCTCTGTTAAGATCCCGTGGTTTTTCACTGGAATCTTAATAGATTTCAAAGCATACATGTCTTGTTCTAGGATGAAGTTGTTGGCTTTCTTGATATCTGCAACCTAGGGAAGCATCAAGACAGACATCACGAAACACACACGTCTCCTCAAAACCAACGTCCGAAAAGCAGCTCTGAGCCCTTCTGGATGACAGGCCGAGCCCACCCGGTGCTAGAACATGATGAACACCAGGAAGCAGCACCTACACGTAAAATGAGGCTAAAGAACGTTGTGTTTTGGCTTTAATGTTAGGGCTTCATCATTAAAATTGCCTCTAGATTTACAACTCTGAACCACCATGGTAGCAAGAAGACTGTTGCCCTGTCTGCTGCTTTTAACTTTCGAGGCAACAGCGCCCCGTCGGGCTGCCCTCCCTCCCACGGCGGGACCCAGTTCAGCGGCTGCAGTGACCACGGGCATTCAGCAAGCCCAGAGCCCTAGGCAGCTGGACAGACACCAGAACGGAGTTGACCAGTGATAATGTTTTAAGAGGTGTGCCTTCATGATTCTATCACATTTTCTTTTGCACAAGTGCTGCATGGCACACAAGTTTACTTTTTAAATAAAAGTGACCTAGAGTTAATTCACTTTGAGCGTTTTGCCATACTTATAATTAGAAGCATGTGGGAAATCACGAATCAAGTTGGAAACTACGGGCTGAAACTTTCTATTCCAATATGAGCACTCGAGGAGAGAGGAACACCACTTGGAGTTTCATAATGTAACGAGGTTCATGACGAACGCCTCCCGTAATCAACCTTAAGACTGAGGACGGGGCAGACGTAAGTCAAGGATAAAACCTTCCTCAAGCTAACGTTTCAAAGTGTCAGAGGTGGGCTCCACGGTTTGAACATCCAGGTCCACTTAGGGACTGTAAATACAGCCAACAGACCTTTAGACAGAGCCTCATCCAAGTCCCCTCCACCGCCTTAATTAGTTAGCAACTGTTTTCAATCATCTAATTAAATTGGGGCGAGGGCCATTTTTCATTTATGCCCTGAAACTGAAGCGTAAGTGCTTGAGACCATTTTGTCTTTGTGTCTACCAAACTAACATCAAATTTATTTATTTTCAACGGGAAAACTCATCACTTATTGGCAGCAACATATAGTCTTCACAGATTCACTCAACATCACCATTCCAAGAAGGGCAGTGTGTCTATTCAGCTCTGAGTGGGGCAGGGTTCGTTTTTCAGCTCATGTTCTATAAACCATACAGGATGCCCCAGAGGCCGATTGGAAGAGTCAGGTGTGTAGATTTCAGGACAATTCAATGATCACTGTCATTGCCGGCCTGGTTATTTCCTTGGGAATCACCCCACACCCCACACGTGTGCTTAATCATTTGAACTCTGTTAGTGACAGTTGAAGGAGGAAAAGATGTTTAAAACATCAGTAAGTTGCTCAGGTAGCCTTAGAGAAAGCCACAGAAAACTGTAGCACAGCGTCAGCAAAGCGAAACAAACAGTTTCAAATCAGGAGAAAAATGCAGCAATTCTGTAAATACTTTCCTACTTACTTTGCCACTGTTAATCACTCTGAATGCTAAAAACATAATTAAAGAGAAACAGGGTTATATACACAGCATACAAAAGCTAGATCATGCAGTCCCAAAAGAGAGAAGACAAAACTTTACAAATCAAATAAGTTACAACCGGCAAGAAAGGCTCAGAAAATGAGAAGCAGCCAAAAACGCAAGCATGCCAAGGAAATCTTGGATAAACTCTGCCTGGCATCTCTGGCCCCACTAGGTCTTCTTCTTTTTTTTTAAAAACACTTTATTTATTTTTAGAGAGAGGGGAAGGGAGGCAGATAGAGGGAAACATGGATCAGCTGCCTCTCGCAAACTCCCAAACGGGGACCTGGCCCACAACCCAGGCATGTGCCCTGACAGGGAAGCAACCTTCCAATTCCAGGCTGGCACTCAATCTACTGAGCCGCACCAGCCTGGGCTGGCCCCACTGGGTCGTAAATAAAATTTGAAGGGACAAGGACGAGTAGAAACATTTTGCAGGAAGGGGAAAGCCCCATCCCCTCAGATTCCTAACCAGCCCTCGCTCCGACCCCGGGCTTAGAGCTGAAAGTACTTCCACCTGCCTTCCCTCTCAGGCGAAACAGGGGAGTCCCGCCGCTTCAGGAGGCCTCTCCCACACACGTGCCGGGGTCAGCAGGGGGCAGCGAGGGCTCCCACCAGCAGCCGGAGGCCGGGGCAGGCGGCCCCTTCCCCCGCGGGATGTCTTACTTTGCAGCCGTACTGAAGAGCGAGCTTGTTGAGGCTGTCCTCCCGCGCCAGCTCCCGCTGTAGCAGCACCACGGCGCCGGCTCCAGGCTGGGGAGGGGGCTGCGCGCCCTGCTTCCGGCGCTCCTTGCCCCGCGGCCGCAGAGCCCCGCGCGGGGGCTCTTCCTCCGAGGAGTCCCCTGCGTCCCCACCGCCATTTTCAAACACGTAAACTTGGCTGCTCGGCGTCCTACAGACCACGGCCGGGCCTTGGAAGGTCTTGCTTAGCACTCCATTCTGCCTCATTTTCTTTACTGGAAACCAAACCCCACGGTTAATGCCGAACAAGTTACCGTCCCTCCTCTGACCACAGTATAGAAAAGCGTCTTATCCGAGGTTAGTCCTTTCCGGAATCATTGTAAATACTCAACAAAATACCAGCAGTGCAAAACAATGCGTTTATGCTGAAACGGAGGGGGAGAGAGAGGCAGGTAAAAACACCGTTTTTCCCCCTCCTAATTGCGTATTTTGCGCGGAAAACACAAGAACCCCTCTTCTTCGTGCCTTAGTCCTCCTCCACCCTCGTGAGTCCGCAAAACCACAAATGGAGAGAAAACCAACTCATCTTTGTGGTCGCCGAGTAGTAAAGAGGCGGCTGGGATCTTGCACTGAGAATCGTAACTCAAAACCGTTGTGCGACCTATTCTTGTACAACTTTACGCATTTCAACGAGCCGTCACGAAGGCCACTGGCTTAGAAGAACTAAGAATTACTCTGATTCTGAAACTGCCTACGTTACACACTCTGTAAGGCAAGTTAGGGGAAAATTCCTGCCAACCTCAGAAATTCACTCCGTTTCTCAGACGCCCTTTTGCCTTCATTTCACCCCGTGTCTGATTTTTATTTTCACTTCCAGCCACGGCAACAGCCACAATGTCCCCTGCCCCCTCCAGAGCGTTCCAACGCGTCCAGAAATGAAACCTCAAACACGGAGAATGACAGCCTCAGAGTTGTCATCCGATCCCCGGGGAGCCACAGAAGAGCGACCCATTCCGGGACAGCCCGTGGCCCCAGCGTGACAGCCCACCACGCCCCCCGCCCGCGGAGGTCGCCGCCCCCGCCCACCGCCCCAGGATCACCTGTGGCGGCCCGATGCTGGGGCCGCGCCTACCCGACCGAACTCTGACTCCGCAGAAGCCCCGGAGGCTCCCAGGCCTCGGTTTCCCTCAAAGTCCCTCCCGTGTCAATAAAAACCGGGAGCGGCTCGCCTCCGCGCTTAGACAGGCGGGGCCCCAAATACTGCAAGACTCGACCTCTGACCTCCAACCCTAACCACCTCTGGCCAGCCCCGGACGGTCGCCGCCCCTCCAGCTGTAGGAGGGTGGCCTGTCCCCCGAGCCTACCAGCGGGGCAAAGCCACCGCGTCGCAAGGGGTCCGTGTAGCCCCACCAACCAGGACCAAGACCCCCCCACCCCCGCCCAGTCCCCGAGCAAGCCCCCGTACCTCAGCTCCCAGGATCCGCCGCGCCGCCGGCGCTACAGACACTACTGCGCATGCCCACAGGCTGCGAGTCGCCGCGGACCTCAGGGGGCGGGACCACGACCTTTCATTGGCTGTCTCGCTGAAAGACAGCCAATGAAATGAGCGGTGGGTGGGCACTGGAACAAGTCTGGCTGTCCTGATAGGCCAGTACCGGCGCGGAGAGCGAGGCCGGGAGGGCGAGGCGCCTGGGTCGGGGGCGGAGCAGGGGCCTGGGGGCGGAGCAGGGGCCTGGGGGCGGGGCCCCAGCTGTGGGACCTGCCCTGCTCCCCGCCCTCCTACCTGCCACCGACTGCAATTCACTTGAACGCCTCGCTCCCATCCTTTAGCTGAACCTTTGGCCCTGCTTTGTACGTCAATAGTCTGGAACGAAGGGGCGGATTCCCAGTAGAGGGCGTGTCACGGGCCGAGACCCCTGGCGGAGAAGGGTACCTTCCTCTGGTGGGCGAGGGGTCCGCCAGTAGAGTTTGCTCCGCCCCGCCCATGACGATAAAAATGTCCACCATGTGGAAACACTGAACCACAACAACACGGACCAAAAACTTAATTTTATCAAATGTCGGAGGGCAGTGGACTCCTTAATCTTAAAAGTGATGGATGAACTCACACACTAAAGCACAAACGTTTACAACTTCAATCCAAAAAAGGAAATAAAAATTTAAAAGCCAAACAGTAACTTGAGCAAAATAAAGGCAACGAATACAACAAATGATCAAAATCCTTATTTGAGAGCGAAAGGCACTAAAGCCACAAGAGATGAAATGTGGCTTGAGGCGGCAAGTGGGGAAAGAGGCCCTGCTGGTGGGGTGTCAAGTGGGATGTTTGTAGCTCTACGTAGCAAAACTTTTAAAATGTGCATATTCTTTGATTCTGTCTCCCATGTTTAGGAATTTACCAAGGAAATAATTAGGACATGTAAAAAGATTTGCTGCGACACTGCTGTTAATGGTGAGAAATGGAAGCTGCCCAGTGTCTTGAAGTGGGGGATTCAGTTGCATTCACTGAGCTCATGTTTGGCATGAAACACACTCATTTCAAATAATCTTGTAGAAGGATGTTTATGAATACGGGGCACTGTTTTGAAAATCTCTAGAAAACACGGTCAAGGACAAATACCCCATAGCAGCACCCCACATCTATCCGAGGGTCGTAAAGAATGTTCTAGAGGTTATTTGCTTTACTTACGTGCATGTGCACTTTCAACAGTGCCTCTGCTGTGCACGTTTAGTCTTGTTAGGAGGAGGTAGTGTAACTAGAGCCACAGGCGCTGAATTCAGACGTCCAACGTTGGATCCAGCGCCATCCCGTAGGACCTATTGGAAAATTCTGTGGCCTCGGTTTTCTCATCTACAGAACAGGACCTGAGACGGACGCCGCTGTTGTGAGGGTTAAAGGGGGTGCTGCTACCTGCTTGGCGCTGGGCAGGTACCTGGCCTTCAGCAAGCGCTCAAGGAAGGTGGGCTAACATGGTTGCCAAGGGGGAACCATAACCCCATAAACGTCGATTTGGATTAAAAGTACATTCCTACCCTAACTTAGGTTGCTGGACGAGCTCTGGGAGGGTTCTTTTGAGGCGTTGATCTGCTCTGATCTGAGGACAGGTTTCTCAGGTGAGTTTGCAGCCAGTTCGTCAGCAGCTTTGGATTGTCCCCCAGGCCAGGGTGTGGGCAGGTGCCCGCAAAGAGGAGCTTGATGAACTGGGCAAACTGTCCTAGGCCATGTCAGCAAGAGCCACCGCCCTTCAGACCAGGTGAGCGCCCACACGGGAAGCTGAGCACCTGGCCCGAGCTCCCAGGTCATCGTGGGCTGACTCCTGCCTGGACCTCCGCTTCCTGCTTGGCGCCTGGGGCTGCTGTGTCAGCTCCTTCATGGGAACTCATGCTACAGTGTGGGTTTCCCTGAAGAGCCCCCCAGGGTGTTTAAAGTGTTCCTGGGCACATCTTAACACCATCCCTTTGTCCCTCTAGGGAGCAAAAATCCTCAGTACTCGCCCATCCCCCACTTTCCAATCACCTTGCTTCCTCTCCCACACCAGCATTTGAGCTCAGCTTGGCTTTCTTGCGCATGCCTGGGAATTGTGCTGGGAGGTTCAAAGGACCCAACTTAACACTGCCACACGGCATCTCCTTCCCAGTCCCTGGGGTCAGGCGGGCACAGACCTTATTTATAATTTTTATGTGAGTGACATGCTAAAATGGTACTAGATATGTTAGGTTACAGGAAATGGTATTAAAATCAATTTCACAAATTATTACTCTGAGTTAGATGCCCAGGAATGGGTTTGCTGGGTTGAAGAATATACGTAAATTTAATTTTACTAGATGTTGCCAGGTTGCTTTAAAAAATGCCATGACAACTCACATTTCAGCAACAATCTTTAGAACACAGCTTTTCCCTGCAACACATAGTAATACTTGTTTTATTTTTTTTTATCAGACTTCTAGGTATAAAATGAATACACTGTTTTTTAACTTTACATTTTTGTAACTGCTAATAGGTTTGAAGACCTTTTTTTGTGCTGATCATTTAGATCTGTTCCTCTGTGAATTGCTGCTGTGTTGCGTTAACTGGATTAGGTATATAGCAGAAAACCCACAAATTGCAGAGGCTATTTATGTTATCCCCAGCCCCCATGTTCCAGTATGGCTGCCAGACTTCCAGACATCACATCCTCATTCCAAGGAGCAGGAGAAAGTCAGGCACCAAAGAGGGCACACTCCCCCCCGTTAAGGAGACTTCCTGGACGTTACACATAATATCTCTGCTTGTATATATTGAGTCAGAACTAAGTCACATGGCTTCACCTAGCTGCAAGGGAGGCTTACAAATTTAATTTTTGAGTTGATACCCTAAGTGAAATCAGGAGTCTATTAATGAGAAGGATAAGGGTAGAGGGGGATGGTAATTGGAGTAAGTAACTGCCTTCTTTTCCGCCAATTTTTTCATTTGGTCATTTCCCTTTTTTCCCCAATACTATATTATGTTGAACCGTATAAAATTATTGATATTTTACTCTTTTGGCCAATGAAAACAGCAATTTCATATGCTGCAAGTCAGTGGACATGGACCCTTTGCCTTTTTCTCTTATCAGCATGGCAAATCTCTTTTTCCAAAGTTGATACTTATATATCAAATCTGTTGTGCCTTTGCCATTCAAAAATTTAAAGTTTTTATATAGTCAGGGGTGTTTACTTTTCTTTTATAGCTTTGAGGTTGCCTGCTTTGGCAGGGAATTTTTCATGTAGATGTAATCTCCTATATTTTCTTGTAAGATTTCAATTGTATTACTTTTTTAAAAACATTTAAATCTTTCACTGTTTTGGAATATAAATACATAAATTGTTTTGCATACGGTGCGAGATCGGGTCCAGCTTGATAATCTTCCAGCTGGAGGGCCAACGATGCCAGAAGCATTGACTAAGTAGCTCCTCCTTTTCCTGCTGAGTTGAAATTCTATCTTTGATAAACATTAAAGTCATACTCACACTGGGATCTATTTCGGGACGTTTGGGTACATGTCAACTCTTAAACTTAACTCGAAACTGCTGAGTTTCCCGCCATCCCCCTCTGCCCCTTTAAAGGCTGGTTGGGGTGTGGCTGGTGATGCCCCGGAGAAGGTCAGATGGGAGACCTGCGATCATCTTCCCAAGTCCCCCACACTTTCCTTTTTGCATTGCCTGATCCGAGGCCTTGGCCTGTGTCACAGGTAGTTTCGCAATGAGCCCAGCATCAATTTGGGTGATGAGTGGCCCATTGATGAACGGGTGATTCATACTTTCAAGTGAATCACGCTCTCGCTTCCTTGCGATGTGCTCCGACAGCCACCGCTGTGCCCCACTGTTAAGAGGGCAAATGTTGGGACTTGCCCACTCCACCTGCACCCAGAATGCTGTCTACATGCAGCAGGGGTAGCGACCCCAACAACAAAATCCAAGGCCAGAGGGCTTCGCGGGGGAATTATATCCAACATTTAAAGAATTAAGAACATAACTGGTGTGTCACAGGCTCTACCAGAAAAAGAGGAGGGAACCCTTCTCAGATTGTTCTGTGAGGTCACTAGTACCCTGATACCAACACCGGACAAAGACAGCGTAAGACAAGAAAACTACAAACCAATGACACTTAAGAATCTAGATGCAAAAGTTCTCAACGAAACATTAGCAAACTGAACCCAGCAGCTCACAGAAGGGATTACACATCATAATACCCCGAGATTGTCCCAGAAATCAGCAAATAGAAGGTTGGTTCAGCCCGTGAAAATCAATCGTTGCAACACCCCGTATTAATAGAATGGACAGAAAAACAGGATCATCTCAGCAGGCACAGAAGCAGCACCTCACGAAATCCAATGCCCTGTCATGATAAACACATTCAACAAACTAGGAATAAAAGGGAGCTTTCTCAGCCTGACCAATGGCATCGATGGAAACTCCCTACCTAACCTCTTAATATCTGGAACAAGACAAGGATGTCTATTTGCTCTTGCCATGTCTAGTCAACACTGCAGTGGAGGTTCTGACTAGGGCAGTTAGGCAAGAAAATAAAATAAAAGTCAGTTAGATTGGAAACAAAGAAGTAAAACCATCTCTATTTGCAGATGACATAATCTTATATGCAGAAAATCACCCCCTCCCAAATCTATATGAAACTATTAGAACTAACAAATGAGTTAAGCAAGGTTCTATAAGACAAGATCAATATATAAAAGACACTTATATTTCTATATATGAAATGGATAGTTCATATAC